TTATAGAATTTGTATAATAGTTTAAATCGGTTGATGTAGCGTTACTACAGATATTTCAGTAACTAAAATTATCCATCATATAGCTAGAGAAATTTTGATTATTCATTACTATACTAAAATCAAATTCAAATTTCTTTACTTTCTATACCGTATGTTAATTATAATTGAATACCTGTCAAATCTATCCAGCTTTGTACTGTAGTACCTTCCGTAATGTGTTTATCTAGTTCTTAGTATTGAATGCTACTTATCTTGTTTGATTTGATTTTAGTGGCATCAATCTTGATATATATTTTTGTACTTACATAATACCATATTTGTATTTCCTTGAAGTACGAGGAAAAATAACAATGGATATTAGTTAAACTCGAATATCTTTGTCCTTTGCTTACGAAGGCAAGCTTAACTTTATTAATTGGATTTATTTTATTTAATCCCCGACTTAATAATACTCTTCGACTGTAAGTAATCCTGGAGTTAATAGTTTTATTTCGGTGTATGTCGAGTAAATGTTCCTACTAAAGCGAGGCGTAAATCTCTTCCATTATCTTCGTGCAGCTGTGGTTAAAAACTTTAAAACTTTATCATGTGTACAGTACTCTCAAACAAAATTTGAAAATTTTGTTTTTAAACTAGCTAGTAGCTATACCTGCACTTTGCATGCCTTGTTATATGTATTTTCATGACAATCATAGGCTATAGTACCGTAATAAGTTAAATACATTATGATCGGTTGTTTCGGTGCCAGCAAACATCAAGGAATATCGAAGGAAATAGTTAATGCATGAAAGTTGGTTTATTTAACAATCATGAAGAATAGAGTAGATACATTAGCCAGCCTAACATAATAGCAATCCATCGATAGTTTGTATCTTACATAGGAAGCATAAATATGCCAGAAAAGTGCAATTAACCAATAATGATACGCGTATTACTAATAACGATGCAACAATTCTAATAGATGTACATAGAATTAACGAAATCATTGTACAAATTTTGCATATGTACAGACAGGCAATCCTTGATACTCTGGAATTAACATCGGTATGAGTCGTAGGCATCCAGTATTAGGGTTTCATGAATCCTGCAGTGTTGCGTTCTCCACTTCGTCGCACTTTACCCCAAGTATTTCAACTACTATATCGACGATTGCATCTAATTGGCATAAGCTCTACTTGGACCTAGCCTTCATCTTTCTACGTTTACGTTTAAGCCTAATCAACAGAAGAGGCGCAATTTAATGCTTAAAAATACGGTATTAACGGTAGTGCTGTATTTTTAATTTCATAAGGTCTATATCGAATCTGTCGTTCCTTACCTTCGCATACGCTTTTTCTTCCACTAAAGTAAAAACAATACAAATTATACAGTTCATTAGCTTCTAATAAATTAGCGAGGTTAGCTAACTAGAATTGAACTAAACTATGTATAGTACACCATTATAATAGACTAATACGAGTAAAGTGGCGTTACCTTTTCCCTCATCTTCGGGTATGTAATAAAATTATAACACACCTATATTAAAGAAAGTTCAAAAGTTAATTACGTATAGAAAATTGTTTATCAGTTAAGATCATAGAAAAAACAGATTTTTCGTTATATCATGACTTGATCATATAATGAAAAAAATTCGTTTCATCAATTCTAGCAGTGGCAAGACCCACGGTAAAAATGCTCAAGTAGCACAGAACGCATGCTATCACTCTACCTTCAAAATGACACTTAAGAGAAAAATCAGCTATCCATTCTCATTCTACCGCGATTAAACATACATATACAGTACTGTACAGTACAGGCCCTGAAAGTACAGTAAGTTTCAACTTTTCAAATATCGTCAAAGTGACATAACGACAAAAGTTGAGGTTAACAACATGCAACCAGCTAGTGACCTTCGTTGAAGCGTATTACTATTAGTACAAGGTGTTCAAAAATATTAGAAAATTACAATATCCCATTCGCAATAGGTGAATTTCTCCATCAAAAAATAATTCTATAACTTCGGAAACCTAATGTTGAACTAAAAAAGGAGTAAACAACTGCTGACTGTGCCCTAAGGCCATGCTGAGCGAATTGGCATAAGATACAGTACTTGACCACTGTATGGTAGCGTGCGTACAAGAAAATGGAGCACATTGTAGAATTGGATTCAAAATGCAAATCGATGGCGATCGATCGCATACGCTACAATTTCAATTAAAAAATTTGTTTCCTAACACTCTTACACTCCTTATACGTCCATTATGACATGCAAAATAAGATTTAATTACAAGATTTCATCAATTTTTTTCCGATCCAACACAACACCATCACTTACCTAGAACGTCAACGAAGAGGGAAGCCTAGAGAAACTCAATGCCACCTGCCTCCTCTTTATATACCAAATCCTACAGTGTACAGTACGTGCGTTTGGCTGTTCGCACTGTAGCTGGTGATTGTGCACTGTACTATACAGTACACTGTGTAGCATTCATGAGCTTCTTCCTTGGTCAGCTCGTCTTTCCAGAATCTAGATATTGGCTGGCAGCAAGAATTTCATGTTACAGTATCTATGTCATACAGTATATTATACTGTACTGTAGAGTACCCATACTGTACTTTAATAAACATAGTACTGTACATGGTAAAAAGTTTTTCCTCCAGTACAGTACCGTATGCAGGCAGCATCACGGTAACCAAAGTTACCAATATTTTAGGCATAAATTATAGGAATATTGGAAAGTAGTTGGTATTCATGAATGCTAATCACTTGGCTGTGGATCAGCAAAGTAAACAAGAAATACAGAGTGCAGCAAGAGGCTGGTCCTGAGATCGATGATGGCCCAGGATCATGGGTTATCGTCGAGATCAAGCCTGATGTGCATTTTAACAGCTAAGCCGGCTGTCAGATCATCCTGTTCATAAGTCCATGACTTCTCTTTTGGGAAATTGGATTATGACAGAGAGGGTACAATTTTTTGTTGAGTAGCCATCGACTACCAGATACATACAGTGTTGTACATACTGTACACATAGAAGTCCATGCTATAGTACAAATGTCTGATGTCGAAGTGCCTACGTTTGCACTTCTACGCTCCAGACCAACAAGAAAGTTAATACAGAGTGCGGACAGACTAGACTGCTATCGTAGAGTTCACGCCACTAGCTCGAAAACGGAATACTCCACTCGGACGGAGATCAGTGTTTACTTCGGATTTTAAGAGACAGTATATAGTATAGACTACCCAGCGAAGCTGGCTGGCTGTCTGAGTAATCAGTGAGCATACCTCTACTGAACGTTATACAGTATTTACGCGGCATGAGCGAATGGAGCTAGACGTAAGTTCGAAATTTCAAGCATTTATTGAACAGTAGCAATACTACTTCGTATCTTTAAAGTCTGATGATGTATGCTCGTATGTGTCTTGCTGAATCGTAAGTTCATTCGTGTCATAATGCTATACTACCAATAGGGTTAACAGTAAAGCGATCTTAAGCAAGCAGCTCTCCAATACAGTACGCATATTGCTTGCAGTTCTATGATAATAATGTACAGTAACTAATAAGCATATCAACGACTATGTTGATGATGCACAACATAGAAAAGACATGAGAGTTGGCCACGCAGTGACTGTAATGAGATCATGTAATCATTCTAAGATGATCAATATATCGCTGAATGCTTAGCAACACGTTATCATAGTATGCGCTCTGGCCATAGGCGTATTAACAGTAAGCAGTAATAAATCAATCAATCACTTTTTGTATCGTATCAGTCCACTACTATGGAATAGTAAAACAATCAGAAGGGTCCGATAGGAGGAAATATTGTAGTCTGGTAGCAACCAAGATGCACCGATACTGTAGTATTGAAGCTGCAACATAATTGCTTAATTGAGAAAATTCAAATTTTGAATTAAAAGTAAATAATCAGCCTCAATCACCTAATTCATCTCTTTACTGTGTATCAACACTTTACTGTTGCAGTGTCATGCATGCATGTACGGTACATTATTTGTTATCAATCATTTATACATATCTTAACATCCGACTTTTAGATTAAGTTATTATTCTTTGCCGAAAGTCGAGAATTGGTGGGTAGTAATCAAGGCAATATTATTGTGAAAGAGGCAGCGTTGAGAAACCTCACTGGAAGGACACTGATAAGTCTTATAACTGAAAAATACTCAAAGTAAATTTAAATTTATCTCGTTACTCTAGTGCGGTGCAAACCATCTGATCTGTAGCAGTAGATTCATTCGAAGATTTTTTTTACACGATTCTACAGTCTTGAGCTGCTACTAATGTAAATTATTAAAAAATGAAATATAGATTACAACCTCTTGCAAATAACCTAATTGTTGCAGTGAACGAACAATACCTTGAAGGTGATTCAACTGTTGAGCTAAAAAGAGGAGATACAATTGCTATTATTCCTCCGCTTAGTGGTGGATAACTATACTTTGTAAGTAGCATCACGATTTGAGCCTGAGCTAGCTGTAATTTGAAGTTGATACTATTCCAATCGATCCGTAGAGTATCGTTTTATGCTATGTTAGTTGACTATGAATGATAATTATCTCTTCAACTTGATAAGTATACCTCATTCTATTATCCATTAATACAACTGGCTTAGTATTGCATCGGAAGTCAACTTTACATTTATTAGTTATGGTTATACCGTATATTTTCATCACATAATGTTGTCTTTTTGTTATAATTGACTACATTTCTGGACTAATTATGGATGTAATAAGTATCGCCTCATTGCTTCTTCACTTAGCCGTTTGAAGTTCAAAAACAAGCAGATAGTAATTTTTAGACAACTTAAAATGATTTCGCATATTTGCGATAGTTAAATCACTTCTAGATTGTCACTGTATACTCACTGCTGTTTTATTTGTCAGTCTATATATACATTTATTGTTTAGCTCCTTTTAACGATTATTTATGTAAAAGCTTGGGCTTGCTCAATCTTAGATTGATGCTATTACATACCAATTTAGGTATATACTAAGGACATAATGGCCCAGGTGACGAATGATGCAGACATAATTGAAATTTGTCATGAACCTCTTGATATAGCGAAATTATCGTCCCTGGTGTCGACGCCGTCAGCTGGAGCAATTTCAACCTTTACCGGTAAGCTAATTATTACAACATCATATTGCAACACTTGTCTATTTCAGTAAGGAAAAGAATCTAGATTGCCGATACTAATGTTTTGATATACGCAATTTAGGAATTACAAGAGACAATTTTGAAGGTTAGTTTCAACTATTGATAACTGTATGCTGTACTAACGTCTTAGTATAATAAGCCAACGGTACCTTATATGTTATATTATATGTCGTTGAGCGGATATTAAGTTCAATGATAAAATCCTCAGAACAGCCCTAGCTTTGATAGGTTTAAATGCAATTACTATCGGGTCAGCTATCCTTAAGAAACATGATAGCAACATAATAAAATCTTCTGTTGAATAACTGCAGGAAAGAAAGTTCTGAGGTTAGAGTACGATGCTTATATTCCTATGGCGATGTCAGAGTTAAAGACAATTTGTGCTACCATTCGGAATAAGTGGGCAGTCAAAAAGATAGCCATTTTCCATCGGATTGGGTAAATACAGTACATTTTTAGTCAGTTGCAGTCGGTTATTATTACACAGAAATATACGGCCGTACTCGAGAAAAAATTATCTCTATATGGGCACTATTGTTGCTAAATTAGCTTTATGTAATTCCACGTTTTAGTCTTGTTCCTGTTGAAGAGGCTAGCGTTATCATAGCAATTTCCTCAGCACACAGAGCCGATAGCTTGGCAGCTGTTCAGTTTTGTATTGATACTCTTAAAGCGAAAGTGCCAATATGGAAGAAGGTCATCTTACGATCGCCAAATATACCTATATTGTCTCTACTAGCTCTTATACAGTAAATTTAATGCCTGGCTAAACTGATAATTAGTTAACCCATTTCACTGCCAATATTTAGGAGATTTATGAAGATGGTAGCACTTGGAAGGAGAATCGTGAATGTAGTTGGTCTCAATCAAAATAAAGTATAACAATTTCAAGCTTCAAATTGTTGTAACGTTTCGCCTTGCGATCTAATTTTGCCAATTAAAATACAGACAAAATAAGTATAAGTATAATGCTAACGAAATAGTGTAGATGGAGATTACACGGCTGGATGGCAGCTCAATAACTTGTCCAATAATTATAATGTATTCTTTCCGTGACTATTTAACACCTTTCATGTTTTCAGGCTACTAAATTTAAATTGATATTTTTATGCACCTCCTTTTTAAATAATTATGAAAATATACATTCAGCCAACCACATTATTAATTGTAGCATAATATGGTCTATCTAACGCAAAATTTAGGCTTTTGTCATAAATAAGAAATTATAGTTTTAATATTGCCATGAATTGTCGTAGAACAAGTATTCAATTTCAATAATCCAGTCCAGCACATTATCAAAAGGTTAGGTCAAGAACCGAATGCAAAAAATTTATCAAAAATAATTTGAGCACTGGGTATTGTAATAGTATTTACTTTAACGTTCACTTTTAGCAGAAGTTATTACATGGTCTTTGAATATTTATATATAGTTATATTTATATCGATATAATTTTATGTACAACGATTAAAATCAATCAATTGATTCAATAAAGTAAGGCTACTTTGCTGTCAAGTCTTTTGCTTGCACTCTTGATAAATATAAGAATGTCCTCAAACTGAAAATCGTTGCATCAACCTGCATTTCACTGTAGTCCAATCTGTTTAATAAAATATTACATTATACATATATATATATATAAGAATGGTCTCTAAGCTATGCACATAAAACTAAAAGATCACCTGTCAAATTTTTCACGTAAAATTTTTAATTGCTGGCTTTCAATGGGCGTAATGGATTCTTCTAATTCTCTGATAGTTTCATCAATACTAACATTACCATCAGTATTAGCTAATACAGATTTCTTCATAGTCTTCAATCGCTCAGATTTGTCTAATAATCGCCTGTAGAAGAGTGACATAGTTATATTAATAGTACCATATCATACAAAACAAAATTGTAACATTTCACGTTGCCTGTTGGAGTTAACTTCCCAATCGCGTCTAATAATAGAGTTTGCAATAGCCTGTGGCAAGAATAAACATGCATTGAGAACATTGTCAGAATAATTTTTATTCACAAACGATTAGCTATAAATATTACTTGAGGAAATTAACAAGAGTAAGATACCTTGTATGATCGACTTAAAACTACAGTACAAGTATCCAAAATATCGAGACTAAATAGATGAAAAGTTTTAGAAGCAACACAATCCAGGCTGCGTGGAATCTCCTAAATCGGATAATAATTAATAGGGTCAGATAAGCCATGCCAAATATTAAATAACAACGTTGATTTAGTACCTGCATTCTAATGAATTTCTCAACCATTAAGGTATATAAAATAGCTTTAGCATCTTTTGACGGCAGCATAGCCATATCACAAATTTTTTTCTGCTCTAGGCTCTTTTTATGAACTATGATTCGAAAGATGCGACCAAAGTTTGAACCAAATCTGTATAAAATTATAATAATCTCTCAATCTATTAAAATGAAGTTGAATATCTAATATGCAATAAAATGGTTCTTCTTACCTTTGTTGTACAAGGCATTCTAAAGTCCTCTTTACTATTTCGGAAAAGATGTGGAGTATATCTGGATCACCAGTGTTAAGTTGCTAACAATCACTTATTTGCAAACAATGCTTACAAATTATAATATTACAAATCCACATTAAATATTCCGATGACTAAGAGTTGTAAATTTAAAGTGGTCCTGAATGTGTTAATTAATTTGCTTTAGCTAAAAATGCCAGTTGGTAAAGATACTGACTGTATAATCAGGACTGGTACCAGAAAGAATCTTGATAGTACACAAAATAAGCAATTGCCCAATATTTATGAAGTAAAGATTTAAATTTGTTAGCAAAAAGTCCCAACAATGAGCCATTCTTATTTCTAATCAAAATAATGATTGTTTTTAAGCTATTGATTTATTAGATTACTTTATCCTCGTATAAAATTGTCAAATATTCTTCTAGTATTGATTTGGTTACATTAACTTCTTTAGGAAGGTGAGATTTAATCTATAAATTAATCATAGCACAGTCGATGGTTACTGAAATTATTTACTTATCATGGCTATCAACAACTTACCTCCTTTAACCGAACTGCGTTTGTTATAATATCACTTTCTTGTGGATTAGCATCTAATTCAAGCATGCTCCTCATAATAGCCGCAGCAATCTATAATGAGAAGGAATCATTGAAGTAGTTTATGACAGTGGCATAACGCCACATTAAATTGAAATTTGTTAGCCTTTAGTATTTATTTTACTAAGGTAAGAATTTAGATGTAAGAGAAATTAGTATCATACATACCGAGTCATATTTTTTACCGATCACTTCAACAATCATCTATAATAAAACGTAAGACAGCAATCGTTTAGTTATTTAGCAAATGTTACTTATACGGCCAATATATGTCGGAATAAGGTCCGTTAGCGATAAAAGTAATACCTCATTTCTAAAGTGAATATGAAATCTGCTAAAGTTAATACGCCAAAAGGATTGTGATTCATCTATGGAAGGCTAGGATAAAAAGAGTGATAAACGGGTCAACAAATGACGTCGCTATAAGAAATGTAAGAATAGATGTAGTAGATTTGCTTACCATATAATTTATTTCATTCGTCCTTTTAAATCAATTTTAATTTTAAATAGAAAGAATCCAATTAAAGAAGACTAGTCAATAAAATAGCAATAAATCTGTAAGCTGATAACACTATTATTTATAGCTCCCTTACCCTTCTTCTAGATGAAGTCGTTTACTAACAGGAGCACTGGGAATATCTTCTGATCTTTGACGTTTATTACCTATTTATTGGTATGTGAAAATGTTGATAATTATATTATAGCATTTAAATGCAGTAAATCATGAGCCAAGTCGATTGTACAGGAATCGCCGATTGCGAGCTTTACTAATTCACAGATAAATGCTATCGTGTAATTTCAATTACCTTTTTTGGGCGTAGAAACCTCTTCACTTGGTTTATTATTGGTAGTAGGTGTCATTTTATCAACTTGTTCAACTTCACTTTTCACTAGCATTCTTCCACCCCCTACTTCGATAATGAAGTTATTTCTAGCTAATTCATCAAAAGCCGTATCGACTTCAGTGGGATCTATTTATCAAATTCAAAGTGCAATAATAAAATAAGCCATCATTCCGAGTAAATACATACTTACAGTACAAGGCGTCGAGTAGCAAATATACCTTGATAGTTATCTCTACGTATGATATCACTTAAGGAGTGACAACTGGCAATACTACAACAAGCTAGATTAATGAGTATCTCAGAGCATTCGATCTTTTACAGGAATATAAAAAGTTAATTACTAGCTTCAGTCAAGTAGTTGGTGAAAGCCAGGCCAGGCCTTTATAGTGTGGACTAGTATTATTAATTAATTTTATTATTATTAGAAGAAGCTCAATGAATTACCTGGAGGAGTATTATCTTTCTCTACGATGTCGGCTAATCTACTTTTTATTTGATCTAAGAGTTCGTTTTTGATTATTTGACCATTTAGTAGTATTTCTTCAACGATTAATTCAGCGATATCACCAAAGAGAAATTTGCTAGCGTAAATATAGCGAGGATACCGGTTGCATAACAGAATTCGATCGATCTTTAATCGATAGAGGTAGCCGTTGGTATTACTGAGCGTGTAATCAATCAGATCATGTTGCAAGAGGATACACAAGGAGTTTTTCACCTAATAAGTGGATCAGAAGACAGGAAAATAAGGGTAAAGAAAATGTTCAAGGTTATTTACCTGATGGATAATTAGAACTTTCCATCTTCAAGTCAATTTATTACACTATCATACACGTATTCTTTCATCTGGTAGCAAAGCAAGCATGCCTCCCATTCAAGATACAGACCTCATCCTTGCTCAACTTGGATCGTTGAATAATATCTCTCAGTGGTGCTCCACCTTTTTGAGCTAAACAGCTTACAACATGCTCTACTACTTCTCCAAATAGAAGTCGTGCTAACTTGATAACACATAAGTTGATATCAGACATTGGACAGTAATGCAATAAGTTAAGGACGCGGTTGGGAAAGATTGGCCTAATTTCGACCAGCTAACAGAAACCGTAAGATATCACGGTGTTGAGCAATTTTACGATACTGTACCGTACGGCACCGTACCATTACGAGACTGTATCGTACCGTACCGCGCCATACCGTACCGTAGTGCAGTGTCAGGCGTCGTGTACAGTGTACAGTACAGTACAGTATAACACTGCACAGTATACTGTACTGTAGGTGCAATACTGTACACTGTGCAGTTCGTGAATGGATCTCCATAGTTTGTTCATAGCTTGGACCATTTGAAGATGGATTTGTGATATTTTTAGAAGTGCATTAACGCTAGCATAACTTCCTACTGCACATTCAATCACATACTGTAGAGGCAAGAGAAAAGAAGTTCATTACAGATTTACAGTTGTTGTGCACGAAGGAGTTGTAGGATCAAGGACTGCTAAATAGAAAGAGATTACTAGAAGGATTAGCGTTTTAGTTTGCTGTGTAACGATCAAGTTGGTTGCGGGTATTAATTGAAGTAGTACGGTATAGTGGAGAGCAGTAGGAACACGGAGAATGAAAAATTCGACTGCTGTTTACTTGCATCTTGAGCTCGCAATCTTGTCTTCATCTTGCACATCTGAATAAAGTGTGAACATATTTCTTCTCATACCTTGGATATCTCACCTTCTTGCCATAGAGCCCTACTGCATTTACCATACTCGTATACTTGAGGTATAAAATAAAAGCTTAGGCAAAAAAGGTGTTGCAATAGCAAGGATCACTCTCCTTTCGAGTAGTCCCTGGTGATAGCTAAGCTAAAGGCAAGCCTATAGAAATATTCAGTTGGTTGGACTAGAATTGGCCTGTAAACATACTTATCATGAGGAAAGATAGGCAACAATACAAGCGTATCACATTCACAAAATCAATAAAAGAACTTGTAGTAAATGCGTTTGTTTCCTTAAACTGGAAATACGATGTTAATTTTACAATGCTGCCCATGATACGTGCCACATTTGCAAGCATTCATTTTTATCTTTTCATAAATAGCGAAGAAATTTATTAAGCCAGAAGGTGCTTCTTGAATTAAGCACTGAAGTCGTATTAGGCAGCCCAATTTAAAATTAATAGTTTATTCTCTTAACTTAATCTTGTAGTACTAATTTTACAATACTGCTAGCAGCAGCTCATTCTGACATAAAGTTACAATATATGCGACGTTTATAAATCAATTATATTACTTGTAGTCTATACAATAGAAAAGCTAATAAATGATGAAGTTGATCATAAAAAAAATATTACACTTAACTATTGGAACATAGTACTGAATTGCATTATACGGTATAACGATACTGTTGAACAATGTCGCTTCAGGAAGCGCCAGAAAGAATCAAAATTTTAACATTAAAATCCAACTTTGGATGTTACGTTATAATATGCAAATTAAAATGGTCATTCGATCAATATATCGTAAAGTGATAAGAAAGATGTACATTGTACAGCTGTCATCATCGCATTTTACAACATCAATGTCGTACATGACTAAACATTAAATTCAAACATAATTTGGGTATAGCTTTATATGATACAGTTAGACAATCTCAATTGTCCTTCCATCATCGCTAATATGTTTATAAAAAAGTGCAAATGATATTATCATACGTTGTTCCATTAATATTATCGCTATTTCTTTCAACATTTTCAAAGGACATAATGTCAAGTCTATTATTAAGATTACCGTAAATTAGACGATTTCGATCATGAAATAATAACACCAAATCGGATCAACAGATTAAATATATAGGCGTCTATCTACGTCAAGAATAAAATAGATGAAATGAATAGGATAGAGAAGCATATCTTGCTTTGGATTCTTAAAATAAAATCCAATAGATTATATTAGTCCAATTTCATACTAATAGCTCGAGTAATATTGTATCAAGGCATCGTTCAATCGTTATAAATAGAAATAAAAAAGTCATTCTGTAAGAAAAATAGTACATGTGATTATAAAAATAATACAGTCTTTACCTCAAACTTAATTATATTCAATCTTTTTAACAAAATAATATAAATTAAATAATTGCTAAAATACAGCCACGAATTGTCGTCTTTGGCGAAGGTAATACAATGCTTAAAAAGAATTTTCTTTACGTATTCACTCACTACATTCTACACTTAGTAAACTCTTATTACAGCAATCATCATTTTAAATAATATAAGTAGTATGAATATCGTTCTAAGAAGATGAGTTCAACCATTAACCAAAGATCTTGCGAACTTATCCATTACATTATGAACAGTGCAGAATAGTTCTTGTGCGCCAGCCTTTTTTCTATACCACTGCTAAATAATGGATGTAATTGTAAATGTTATAAAAGTAATTCTATAGTTGAGAAATTAATTTGCAGCCATATTAATTCGTTATACAGTACATAAAAAACCCAGACAACTACCAACCTACTACTTAGAAATTGAAGGGTTAAACTTTACTTACCTGTAGACAGAGTCGTGCTTTGTTAATCTTCTTCCTTAATAGCATCGACGTTTCCGTAACGAAAGCTTCTAGCTTGTACTCGATTCATCGATTCCCAAACATCAGCACCAAATAAGTGTGAAAAATCGCGTCGTAGAAACCCCATTATAACTCTATCAATTCTATACAAGATAAAATAGAATAAATTATGATTTAATAATAAATGCCTGTAAAATTTTTTATATTTATCATACTCGATTAATATAATAGTAAGCCTAAGCATTAACATATTATTACAGTTTGGAACAATAAAACCATGATTGAATAGCTGTCTAAACTAAATACCAATAATTAGCGCTAATTAATTGATAGATGGTACATTGGTCATACTTAGTAGGAAATTCCATCATCACGTTATGGCCTGCTTCTTCCACAATTTCAATATCAGATCCATAAATAACCTATAGCAGAAATGATGGTAGCATGAACATAAGTATGGCGTAATAATACTCTGAGATTATATGCAGTATTAGAACTTTGCATCTAAAGGTTAAGAAAACCAAAATTTAAAATGTGTTATCTTAGCGGTTATAATTTCTATTTTACCTCCTGCAATTTTAGATCCTCTTCAGTATCGACTAATTTATCCTGTTCACCATGGATAATTAAAACTGGCAGATGTAATTCGTGATAATAACTTTCATCTCCTTCCTCCCAAATCTAATGTAAATGATTATTTATCAATCACAATTTCGTAATTTTTAAATTATTCTCGTAATATGAAAGGGTATAAAAAATAAATATCGTGACACGATGATCTCATTTCCTTTAATAAGAATATTTCCTTATTTATATAGCAATTAACATCTGTGATCGCTACTTTGTGAATCTCACCTGTCCAAGCATCGTATGTTTAAGGGCGTAAGGGCGGACTAAAAATCCTCTCTTTTTAACTTTGACAGTATTATGCTTTGCATATGCATTCCTAATAATCATCATGAATAAAAAATGGACATATTTTGTTAATCTGGTCTAATATCATCACTTAAATTCCATAATGCTTTCTTATATGATGGCAGAAAATCAATCACGATAGAACATAAATCAGATAAAACTGTATTTTAAACTTAAACTATTAACCAAAATAAGAAAGCATTAATGAATAAAGATAATTTAGCAGTAAATTATAAACAATAAGACAGTGTATTAAACTCATAGATATGGGTTTAATATACTATTTTACTGTTAATACATCATAGTGATTAATAGACTTATATCATAGAACAGCATACATCTGCAAAAATATCACCCAAAATTTGTCATTATCTAGTATAATGCGAAAAAGTTGATTGAAATTACTTGAGAACTTTTAGTCATTAATTTTTCCAGTCATGCTCGAAGTAATTATAAATGATTACTATATTACACTGTTCCATACTTGAAGCAGGCTAGAAATTTTAAGCACAACAAGAAATTCATACTTGCAACATAGATCAATATATGAACACTAGGATTGGCCATGAATATATTATAGACTAAATTTATTATAGTATACACAGATCTATCATTATTGCTGTTCCAAAATTATGATACTGAGATAAATACCTTGACATAAGAAATATTATTAAAAGTTGTATATAATATTAATGCGTACCGGTTTAAACTCGATTGTAATTGAATGAAATTGATGTTTAAAAGGCGAATAATTAACGAGTGATAGACGTATATAATCAAGTACTAATAGTTCAATTTCACGAAATGAATATCTATATAATTAGAACCTGTATTATAGCCAATGGAAATGCTACTTTATCACTAGATGATACCATCTTTCTAACTAAAGGAACGTTTTCGCTAGTAGGCTCTAGTCAATGCTGTTACAATAATACAGTATAGCAAACACAGTAATCATAACCACAGCCGCTCCAGCACAGCAGGGATTTAGTACGGATACAAATTTGAGAGAAATAAAAGAATCAAGTAGATATTACAGAAAGTAAACGATGGTGGCACCTTTCCGATAATTGATGTTTAGTCGAGGAGAAGATTAAAGAAAAGGAATGAACGAGCTTATAAAAATTGACAATATCGTACCACAGCAACTAATTATAGACATGAGCCTAAGATTGTGTTCTCGATTGCTTTGAAGAAGCTAGTGATGTGAAATAAAATTATACGCTAATGTCTAGTCAAAGGTATAGTGACAGGCTAACTGATTAATATATAATAAGCATTTCAAGAAAGCTAAGAATGGAATGATTATTACGGTATCTAAAAAATGTAACTTTTCATAGAAAAACCCCATTTTAGTTCTTTTAATTTTATCCATGAAATACTGTATATAACCAGAAATTTTATTGACAGTAAAATATAGCTTTACAAATAAAATTCCGTATTAATTTTTAACTTACCTAATAAAATGCTTTGAAACTAGGGGAAACACACACTTTAATAAAAGCATAGGCGATGAAAAGATACAACCTGGATGAGGTTGCAATGGCGAGGGTAGACCACAGCTTATGAGAACTATTTTTAAAACGCGATTTTGCCTTTCTCTTGCCGTCAACGCGCAAAAGGAAGATCTATTTTAAATTATAAAATAATACAAGACATTTATGTTAAATTGAATATGAAATTCAAAATAGTAAATATCCTAGAATAGTAATATCTTATTCTACAGTATGAGAATAAGAAAAAAATAATACGCTAAGTCTGCGTATTGATAATGTTACTTTAGTAAATTAATTTTACAGTATAGAAAAATCGCGAAAGATAATTATAAAATAGAATAGATTATTTCCTATAGAACACAACAGACAGTGACAACGACATCATTGATTGTTACTATAATAGAATTGATATTCTGTCGCGGTGAATTAGATCTTATTGTTTGTATGCTTCACGAGCTTCAAGATATAAACAGATTGCTATTAAATGAAATTATCGGGATTTTCGGATTTGATTTTAAATGAATATAAGTCGAAAATGGATAATTAAACCAGGTGGTAAAAAATAAATACATCAGTACACGTTTTATAAGAAGCTAATTTAGAAAATATTGATTTCAGTAAAGCTATCTACTTTGAATTTTTAGATATCGTATTGATTGAATCTGTCTATTACGCAGATATAAATTAGCAGTTGATTATATCATTGATAGTCGTAAATTGAGGATGACTAAGTTTTAAAATAGTCGTGGTAGGAATATTCACTTCTATAAAGTATTTTAAAGGAATTATGCAGCTTATCAGATATATTGAAAGTTATTGGTGAACCAATAACTGCTGTTATCTTATATTGTTGCGTAAAATTTCTTCGACGCAGGCATTATATTTGATGAATAGTGCTATTATCGAAACCAATTCCTCATTACAGTACTTAAAATGAATGATAATCTTAAGGCAGTAGCAAAAAAGTAAGTCCGTCTTTAATGATAGGCTTATTTTTGACAGTATTGATGATAAATGAAGCATAAAAAATAAAATTTGGTGATGAGTTAATAATGTATGCCTACAAGTATGACCTTTGGCAATAGTCAACGCCTCCATTCGTTACGTAATAACGATATTAACCGGTTATTAAACAACTGATTTACTTACCCATACGAATGTCCAACCAAAAAATTGTTTTTACGATGGCAGTAGCGATCGAATATAGATAATACATCTTTACTCATTTCTTCAAAAGTGTATTTATTTTTTCCTCTCGGTGTATCACTGTTTCCATGTCCTAACAGATCTGGTGCAATGGCGATGTAACCATGACTGCTAAAATGTTCTAACTGTGATTGCCAGACTAAATGCGAACCTCCAACACCATGAATAAAAAATACTACAGGAGGATCAGCATTTTCCGATGTACTAGTATCATCGATCGTATTCAGATGATTTTCATCTGCCGGATTCGTTGCAGTTTGGCTATTTCTTCTTTTAATTGGTTTATAGATAGCAATATTTAGATATCGACCTAGTCGTACTTGAATTCTTCTAATATCAAAGGTGTAGCGTCGTGGTAATACAACATGTTTAACTTTATTTTTCTTCGGCATGTTTTATTATTAAAATAGATCAATTTTTCTGATAAAAAGTAAATGATTTATTGTAAATTAGGATTTATAAGCTATAGCATGAAGTGTATGACATGGATAGCGTAGTAGAAGTTTGTCATCAGTGGAGTAGCTAATTAATTACCGGACTAACAACTAGAATCATACAGTACAACGACGTCTACATATTTTATTTCACGTAGTAATTGGCTGCCGTTGTATCCATTCTAATCGACGAAGACGATCTCTCTTGAACAACTTGTAAGATCTTGTTTGGCCTATGATTAAAGGATATGATAACAAAATAATCTCATCATTGTCTACCGGAAAATCTGGACAATATTGTTATATTTTTCTTCTTTTACAACGTTGAAGGTGATCAAGCCAAGTCCAGATCGAAACGATGTTCTATATGGTATTCAATAGCAACGCCAACAAATAGCGGTAAACGTATCAAAACAGGAAAATATTGACTAAATATGACCAAGGTTAGCTATGATCAAGCTAGAAATATCCAAACAATTGCCTGTAACGGTAATAAATACTCGTAGATAAGCAATTTGATCCTCCCCGGATAGTGTACTCCTACAGTATATATATGTATACAAGCAATATGAATTACAAATACAAGTATACAGTATAACCTATTCTATAGTAAGGTCTATACTATACCTCTAGAGTCCACTAGTCATTTTGTTATTCTATTCTGATTACAATTGAAAATAGCAAGATGACCATGAAATAACAGTGGGATATCGATACTGTCACGTTTTCCTCTTTCAGATATGACCTCTATCATTCAATATCGATTTTAAATTGGTATTGAAGACAGCTGATTTCGATCCCTAAGCAGCCTTTTTTCAAGCGAAAAGGTACATGGTGACTATTATGAATATGTATTGAATCGTTTCCATGGCAATGGATGAAGACAAAGCGCATGTCACCATGCTAAAAACTAGAGAGCTTGGACTTGGAACAGTCTACTGTTGCTAGTATGAGGAAGTGGGATATTGTTCTGTATGGCATAGCATTGTACAGTAAATGTACACCCAATGTACAGTAGTCTAGCGTAGTAGGTGTTTTAGTAATGCCTGACTGTATATTAAGATGGAGTAAAGAAAGGCTTTCCAACCACCTTCTTTTAGGAACAAACCATGCAATAAGTATGGACGTATGGACAGTTTGGACACGTGGACCAGGCGTAATTGCAATTGCCAATTCATATTATTAACTTATACTATAACTGTAAATGCAAAGTTCCTTCGACTGTGCAATGCTGCCAAGAGACTATATGCAACTAGGCATCTTTACTAGCTCTACTGACAGCTAGGCAACGGAAGCAATGATCAATCAGTACTAAACTTCAATTAAATTCTAGTGGGTTTGTTATTGTCTAATCTTGATAAAATCATGCTAATTAATAAAGTAGCCTAATGAATGGATCAGTGTAGATCCAAAAGAGCTACAGGCTAGCTAGTGACATTCAATTTCCATAGCTGCTATCACAGCTGTTGCTCGAGCCGGCAGGTGCAGAATTGTGCAGCCATCAATCGTGTGACCCTATGAGGACAGTGTTGGCTGGCAGTAGATTATAACCCCGCTCAAATAAGTCAAGAATACAGTACAAAAGTACAACCTAAGTCAAAGAACAGGCTGTAACAAAGGGTTATAACTCAAATCGAAAACCAGGAATCACGAATAACCCGTGTTTTTTCCAACACTGTATATGGCTGGAATCCATATTGCAGATGATAGTCGAATCCGCTCGCAAATTATCACCGCTCGAACAGGCCGATGGTGCCAGTATAAATGAAGTCTTCACTTTCCTTTACGGTGGTGTGTATAAGCGAAGTAAATAGAATCTGCAGTACCTTGCCCACTGCACCGTAGAGTCTACAGTACAGGATACTGTACTAGGTTACAGTACTGTACTGTACACTGTACTGGACTGTATCGATCGATTTCGGTACGGTACCTTAATAAAAGAAGGCGGGCGAAGGCATAAGACAAGACTTAGGACACCTCCAGCTCATGACTCTGAATCATTCCATCTTGATCAGCTCTATATTTGCCAATAAATCTACTATCAAGTTTTCTATTCCTATTAAGCCTAGCTCAAACTACTCAATAACAACCAAGACAATTAATTGATCATGGAGTTTCGAATGATTCTTTTGGCTATCGTCACTTTTTTATTAGCTTATAATTATGATCTTGATCCAAATTCGAAAAGGGAAGCCGATACCATCCAAGGTTGGCAGCAACAGCTGGATTTAGACAGTGCCAATTCTCAAATTCGAATCGCTGTTGGGTAAATGATCTCTAGTTTAATGAATGATACAATAGATGATGGTGTTATTAGCTTACTATATGCAATAGAGCTGTAGAATCTACATGAAATATGATGGTGTTCATCTTTATTGCAAAGATGAACGATAGATTAAGGTACTCAATTCATTTACTCGTACGTTTGTAAAATGTACCAGCATGTCAGAAAGTTCCTGGAGATGCTATCATCCAAATTGTAAATGGCAATGTTATGTCACCATTAGAATGGATGCCCCAGATAATTCGATTAGGCTTGAATTTGATGTTTGAAACTGTAATTTAACCTTCATAAATGCAACAAGTGTACTTAGAATGGACGTGATAAATCACTCTAAAATTGTAAGACTTATCAGCGAAGTAAAGTAGTCAAATGGAATCAGATATTCAAAATACTATCATACAAGACACAATTTACCAAATGAGAAGTGACTGAGTTGACTTTTGTATCGGTCTAATAGATCACTTTAATAGATCTACTTCAAAGTTAAGAAAAATATGACCATATCAACATACTGTAGTATATTTGTTGTGATCTCTTACTGTTTGCACATCTGGATTGTTTTACAATAAACGTAATTAATTTTCATTCTAGATTGAATGCTAATGTTGACTTGATCTTACCCGGCGTTGATCTATTAAACGAGTTGGGAGCTAAACCTAATGGCACTAGTGATCATTTGTTATTGAGAAATGTCAACGATGTTCAAGACTGTTTTGCACGCTCCATGAAATCTTGCTCTGCAGCGGAAAGGACTATGGAATCTAGGACACTATATCAGGAAATTGTTGCCAGCGCCGAGAAAATTAAACTTGCTAGGGTATTTTATTGAGCCTCTCATTCATTTCAAGCATATGTTATTATAAGTGTTTATAATGTGAACTTGACTAAGGACAAATCTAATGGAATTTAGCATCGTATTGGAGGGAATGCTGCACTCTTGGGAGAAACTATAGCTAACCTTTTACCTAATGCATCAGTAAGTTCATTATTGAACCAATAGTCAGACTTAATAAATGGCCATAGATCTTAGCATAATATGATCTTGATAGAAAATTATAGCTATAACTGCACGTATTGCCATTGCTTTACTGCCATCCAGTATATTAATTTTACCGCATGCGGTATCTTGGTGTTATCGATTTTACTAGATATTACTTGTTGGACCTGTAGGCCCTAGGCTAAAATCCTTATTAAATCCCAGAATTAAGGTTCCTGTTGTTGCAGAGCAAGATGAAGTTCACTTAATTTTAGAATATGAAAGAGACGAGAAATGGGGTGATATCAAAGCTTCATGTGCTAATCGATTTATTATGTCCAACGATATTGCTAATTCCGACTTGCAAGCGATTGAAACTTTTGCTAAAAATCTAAAAGAATTTCAACCTAATGTGGTTGTTATCTCCGGCCTACACCTTATGGAGAATAAACCGAAAGAATTTAGGATGCGCAAGTTAAAAGCTATGATTGAGATTCTAGGCACTTTGCCAAGTCAAATCCCAATCCACCTTGAACTTGCAAGTATGGCGGATATCGATTTTGTTCGTGATGTTGTTAACACTCTCTTACCTCATATTAATTCACTTGGCTTAAATGAACAAGAGTTACACGCTGTTTCGCGTGCGTTAAATGGGCCTCATACCAAAGAGGATTGGACAGGAACTCCAGAGATTGCCCTTGTTGGTGACATCTTATACTGGCTACTACACAAATTCAGCCAGCTTGAGGATTCAAAATTATCCCGTATTCACTTTCATTCTCTAACTTATCACATAGTAAGCCAGCTAGCAGGAAGTTGGAATAATTCTTTAACTGCTACAGGAGCTGCAGCTCGATTAGCTGGTTTAAGAGCCTGTAATAGACCTGAAATTGTACCTCAAGAGGTTGAGTTACAACTTCCTTCAGCCTTTATTGTTTCTCTGACTAATTCTACGTTACGCCGATCTGCTATCATTTATGATCCTCGTAAACCTGTTAGCAAATGGAGCAGGGGTAGTATAGATATGTTCTTAAGCCCTGTATTGGTTTGTAAAAAGCCGAGAGAAACGGTTGGATTAGGTGATGCCATTTCTGGCACGGGCTTATTGTATTCGAAATTTATCAATTCGAAGATATAATCAATAATGATGTATCTTGTTACCTTTTATTAAATATATTGAATTTGCTGTCTTTAGTTTAAACTATTTCCATTTTAGATATTACCTATCCAGGTTATAAAGTATTTATTTTCTTTTACTGTAAATAATTATGAATGTAGTAAATGAGTAAAAACGATAGCATTATGAAATTTGTGAACACACTAAATTACGTAGAACTTCATAAAACTTTAACTGGCTTTGTCCCCGTTAAATTGTATTAGCTTATCCATGGTCGACAAACAATGCGTACTTTTTTCAATTCGAGAATATATTTTCCTTTAAATGGTAAAGCAACCAGGAAGTTATTATCCTGAAATGAATTTCGTAAAGTACTCGTACTGAATTTAAAAAGCTATGGCCATTTAGCCAACATCTGAATTATATAAGATTAAGCTGATTTGTATCTAATAATATAGAAAAAATAAAGTGTATCATGTATGATTTCAAATAAAACAATGTAGTTGCTAAGTAAATATAAGGAAGACAATTGTCTATGAGTATTTCATAATCAAGGAGGCGAATACAAATCTTTGATATTGTATCGCATTATGTAGTACTGTAGTACTATAGTTTTTAATTTATAATACTGTATTTCCATAACATGACTTATCACTAAACGATGAGTAGTAATCCAATAAACAGATTTAACTGGCTTACTCGCTGAAGATGATAATTTCTATGCGATTCGAAAATATCGATATAGGGTAGACGCAAGATAAGTGTCGCTTGATAATAGCTACGAAAGAAAAGTTGGCTTACAGAATTTGACAGTGTCTATAGCCATAAATTACTTGCTTAAATACATTAATGAAAACAGCTAGTTGTATTGTTTTGATATATCAGTTGTAGTACATACCGGTACTTAGTTAACAGATAAACTTATTTCTTTTCAATGCGTCAATATCGCGTAGACTAATAACTTAATACCTCATTTGTTCTCGTATATTTATTACTAATCGTTAAAGTAAATGATGGCTTCAAATTGTTTAATTTCATTTTATATCTGAAAGTGGTACATTTAGTAAACTTGGCGAATAATAGCTGTAGATAATGCAAAATTTTATTATTAGGAAGAGTCTATGATATGGCACCACTATACTCTACAGCGATTTATTGCAACTTATTTTATGAAGTAAAATACAATATTCAGTCAAACGTTCGCCCCAAATTCTTCCATATTCTAGGGTTCAATCGCATTATTAAAATTAAAGATTTTTGATCGCTGTCTGGTATCCCATTTAGAGTGTTTCATATATTATTAACTCGATTTGATAACTGAAAATACATTGTTTACTTAACTAATTACAGTAAATGCAGAACTAACTTTCTGTTAATCAAAAGCAAAGTACCGAGTATCTCGAATATACTGTAGTAAATTCGATTTATTTACCGCCTGAATAATAAGCAATATAGCGCAGGATTTAGGAATTAACGGATGTCATCCTCTTGATATTTTTTTTAAAATACGGTCATGAAAGGGCATGATTAATTTTTTCTCATAAAATGAAAGCTAGAAGCAAATTAAATGGCTTGACTATTAATAGTTTAGTAAAGCTAGATAGATAAAATCAGTATGCTGGAAAATCAACAGGTGGTTTTATTAATTATATCGTTTCCAATATCTACTCTCTGATAATTATTAGTAGTGAAAAGACCAACTCATTCAAAAGTTTCCTATTGACAGGGAGTGCTGGCTTTATCAGCAAAGTGTACATATATATCTTAAGTTTATATAATAGTAACTTAAATCATGAATAACAGGCAGAAATCAACGAAATAAAAATTAAGTTACGATCAAAATCAAAATTATACGCATGGCCATCATCCTATAGCAGTGTTTATATGTTATACTAGATTTGAGTTATAATCAGATAGAAAACCTTAAAAATTCTGTTATAGATGGAAGTATTAACAAACAAAAGGAAGTAATTGACGAATTCGATGAAAAGAGGACGGAAACATTACTTTAATCGCGTCAACGAAGAAGTATTACCTTCTTCTTGGACTATTGATCTCATAATTTAATTATAGATGATGACTTAAGTAGGTCCGTTATTAAAATTACAATTGGTGTCATTTATATTCTTACATTAACGAAATGACTACTGCCAATCAGAATGATAGCAAATTGAATGGAAAATCATAAAGGGATTTCAATCGACGTATGATGACGACAGCAAACACGGAAGTTTAGAAAAATTTATTTGTTTAAACCAGTATAAGATTCATTTGTTAATTTCTTGTTACGATTTTGACTCAATCTTAGGATTATTATCAGGCTATCAATAGGTCTTCAACTACTAGATTGATTTTAGTTGATATCGATCCGAGCAAATTGATACTACTATTGAGTCGATGAATACTTTCAAGTAGTAGCATCATCTTTTATTTCATCATTATAGGTGTTCATGATCGGTAAGGTTGTACTTAATTTGCTTTATAAATTTATGGAACACAATTCACTAATTAAGAAACAATCATACATCATCAGTCCATTACAATAACATTTTTTTTATTTTGATGGTAATCATAGAATAGAATTTTAAATCATATAGTAGAATACTATAAAGAGCAATTGATAGAAATATCCAGTCAGTAACTATTGTAATAGAACTTCTAATGACAGGCTAATCCTTATCATTTCATGAAAGGTTAGCTATCTAAGAGGCTTAATTGTCATTGTTTGACCTTTAATTACCTCTTAATATCACACAGAATAGTATATGAGAGGTCAATCGATGTACGATAGTTGTATCATTATTTCAATACTTTTCTGCACAATAAATTACGCATTTTATTTTCTTCAGGCCCTAGGCATCGAAAAACATCAAAAAGAGGCCGATCTATTGAACGTTTTTCTTATCATTAACTCTATTAAGCGAATCAATTTACATTTTTAGATAGCTACAACGATGATAATTATTAATGACGACAGCAACGGGCACAACCTATTAATGATAATTATGGATTCATTAAGTGACTGCTAAGATATTTCTTTTTTCATACTATTCTCATCAGTTCTATTAGGAGCACCACTTTAGGCTATTCTCCTCATCATTTGTCACCATAATGTAGATTAAGATTTGATTATAACTCTATAATTGCAGTTCTAGATGGCATAATAACATCTTGGCTAACTATCAGATTAAGAGGATTATTAATTTTGAAAAATAAAAAACAAACCTACCAATGATTAGCATTGAGAATAGAATAGAATGAGAACCTGAATAGATTAATCACATCAAGAGGATAACATCACACAATTGGACGCTAATTTTATTAAAATTTGATTTTTGGCAGTTTGCAGACTCGATTTAATAGAATAAATGAAATGATATTAAATGTAAACAAAAATAGTTTAAAGTTGAAAATCGACAAAATTCAAATCCATTCAACGGAATTAATAAACCATTTCCATTATAGTACTGATGTAACCTATACATAGCATATCTACGCTGGTTACGTGCATACTAAATTACGAAACGTTAACATTTATACCATGATATGCGATATCTGCCCATTCTATCTATTAACATAATGTACCATCTGCCTCATTTAGAGGTTGTTATTTATCCGCCATCAACTTAGTGAATAAATCTACTCCTTACAATCAATCTGTAATTGTAACACTAACAGAATTATATATAACTAACACTCGAATTACGTGATAGAACAACACCAAATGCCACATTTTATGTTTTACCATATATGAAAAACTGGCAGCAATAAGTGCAAAAAGGAATAGCAATGGCTGTATTAACTTATCTATGAATATATCGCTATCCCTATTTCATATAGTTTGAGATGGATCTGGTAATGGAGTATCGAAGAATTAGAGGGAAAAAGTGAATAATAAAATCATTCTCCATACTGCATTATAATAAAGAAAACGTATAAAGTAAAGTGTGGGATGGAATCAATAAGAGATAGGTGTGAGTAAAAAGCAAAAGAATCTGTTCCTCCTTGTTTTCTGGCTCATTTTAATTGGATTATTTGACAATGACCACTGTCAGTGCATACTTTGCTTAATTTATTATTCTCCAGTTATTTAGTTGAATAAGGTCATCAATGTCCTTGTACATCATTTCTACTGTCTTTCCTCGCCTACCGAATAACAATCAATCGATAAATTATTCTCATCAGCAGTAGGTCTATTTGCTCTGCATGATGGCATTCTCTCGCCTGTACAATAATTACAATGACTCTCTTCGTCTTCTCAAAGGATGGGTATAATCCTACGCAAGCTCTCAATTTAACTTGAATAAAAAAGTTAGCATAGCTAATATTTGAATTAGTCATGTTCCAATCCTGTTGTTGATAATAGTATTGTGCAAAATTAAACAATTAAAGTAGTTCCGAATTCTAGCATTGACAGTACCAACACATCTGTAACAGCTAGCTAACGGCCTCATACCTACTACAACATTGATATTTCTATGCTTCTGTAAGTGGCCAAAATCCATTTTTTAACTTTCGTAACTAATGAAATCTTTCTCAATTTACTATAAGCTATAAATATTATTCGTTTTTCATCCATCGATTGATATATTTAGGTTCCAATAAGAGCAAATCTATACAAATTTGAACTTCAACCATGAAAGCCCGCATGAGAATATCATCTTGTAATTATACTTGGCTCTATCTTACTCTGCTGCAAATCTTTGTCTACGCTATTACCTGTAGCAATGGCTTAGGATGCCCTCATTGCAATCGCCAGAAGTGTAAATACCCCACTAATTGTCCCGGTGGCTTAACTTACGAACCATATTGTGGATGTTGCTTAGTTTGTGCAAAGGTACTTGGAGAATCGTGTGGTGGACCATGGGGATCTTCGGGTCATTGTGACAAAGGCTTAGAATGTTATATCAGCCCATTCGCATATACTAAAGGTTCATCAATCGGAGTTTGCCGACGTAAGTTGTCTTATTGAAAAAGTAGGAATTGAAAATTAGATTATTAATAATTTTAGGGGGAGTTTTATGTTCTAAATAAAAGTACCACACTTTTCATTTTACTTCCTATTTATTTTGTATGGTATCGAGTACTTGTATAGCTATAGGTACGGCACAAAGCTATCAAGTGGCAAGGGATTAAAAAGTTTTAATATTCCATAATCACTAGGTCTGACTTAAGCATATTATGGTCGAGTTTAGATCGTAATCTATTTAATATCAGATAGGATTTTTTACAAATTTATATATGTAGAATAATCATTGTAACCATTTATACGAAGATAGTTTGTGAAGATGGTGAAAAATTTTCTTCAATTCGTTGTAACCGTTCAAATATGTCTCTCTAGCACTAGAAAATAATTGCAATATTATGTAATATAGCGCTACATGGGCACTACCATCTCACTAAGTTAGATGTAAACAAAGTAGAATACGGGTATGGCTATTTTTGGTATCTTTGTTTGCTTATGGCCCTTTTCTATGAGGGGTGTAAACATTAGTAGTGCTTTCTGGGATTAATAAGTAAACTTGTAGCTTAGGTAGAAGAAATTTAGGTTCCAATCGTTAAAATTAGTTATCCGATTGTAATGTCCCCTACTAAATCAGATCACTAAATCATATCATGATTTATTTCTGCAGTTCTATATAATCAGATGGTTGATGAATCACTAGATGATGAATTAAAAACACAAATGTAAAAATATCGCTGAGTCTATAAAATTTTTCTAGTTAAATATCAACACTGACCAGACATCACCACATTTCCTAATTTAATTTAGGTTGCACATTCCAATTGTCAATGAACCCTAGATTAACGTGATGTAGCAGTTTAATTGCCCTATATCTAACTAACTGAATTTTAATTTAAGCGTGCTATAGAAAGTATTAATATCTAACAATTTCATTTGTAAGAATGCAAATGAGCCCACCTAAGTTAATTAGTTAAAAGCTTCATGCTGCTTAATAATCGGATGAAAGTATAAACTATAAGGGTTGGTCAAGAGAAGTAGCAGAACAATAATATTAGTCGTTATTCGTGGTGTGATTACATCAAATAGTTTTAATCTTTTAAGGTTGTATTTACCAGAGCTACTGGTCGTGGATCTTTCATATAACATTCACCTTTCTATTTTCGAAAGTTAAAACAATAATATGATGGATAGTATTTTTCTCCAATAATCTCCATCAACTTGAAATTTTTCCAACTTTTTTTATTAACAATACATTGATTTATATAGATGTTTTATATTTACAGCACGTGCCACATTAGTAAGAGTTTAAGCGATAATTTAGCAAATTATCTTTTTCCAACTAATAACACCTATTAATGCTAGGGCTACCCGTTATGTTGCATATAATGAAAATTATAGTGGCTACAGTATACCATAGATCGTAGGTCTTGGCTTTGACAAGGGCAAATTTATTACCAATCCTAGAGTGATTTTATTATGCTTCAACTGCATGCATATCATTAATTCACTATTTTGTCCGTTATTTTTCCACTTATACAGTAGCTCACCTGGATAGGCTGTTTGTAATTGGCAAGTATTGTCTAGTATAGTGTTATTAAATAATTGCGGGCCGTGTGTCGAAGCTCTTTATGGATAAAAGATTATCTACGACATACTGAGGTAATTAAAATCATATTATTAATTATCAGCTATAATCCATGCCGCTATCTCGGCGCTAGATTCTTCTATACCGTTAATTAGTTTAAAAATAACAAAAGAATTCCATCGCTGATGCCTTAAAGCACGAATAACCTTTTAGTAGATGTAAAATTTCATCGATTAATGAGCTACTTCTAACTTTCTAGGATAAGATATTAGCAGGCTCGTTGCTTAAACTATATCATCATACAGTATGTACGAAGTTCATAGGCATCTGCCATTAAACTGCATTACTTGGGGGTGTTGTTTGGATTCGCCATTGGAAGTATTAATTTATTACTGATGAACTATTTACACGAGATTGTTGAATACGTAAATACATGAAAATCTTCACTTACATTGCAAAGTGAAGCTTTTAGATAAAACAACAAACAGTGTCTATATACGGCGTAGATATACATTATGGTCAATTTTGAGTTAGCTGATGTGTATGAAGATAGCAGACCGATTGCAGAGCAGTAAAATCCATTTTTAATGACATAACAAATGTGGAAAATTAGCATCAATTCGGCCTAGCTCTTTTGTTTGAAACCATGATAGCAGCTTATTTAGGGCTCATGTGAAGCTCTACGGTATGCTATGGCATTTATTAGATGATCACTCGATAAGGCCTATGTAACACTATATTCTAATTTCGTTCCTAAGATTGTACATCACATTCGCTCATGGCTATACGATTTAAACAATTAATTTGATCCTCTCATAATTGCTCACAAAAAGGATTGCTATACAATTAGAAGTAATCACGCATCATCAGTTTATATGGATACTATTTATAATCTCTCTTTACGGCGTAAGTCTTAATATTAAAGCATCGATTCTTAAACATACCGCAGATATACCTGTCAGTGGATACGCTGCTGCACCGACATTTTCTACCTGTAGACCGGCTTGTACTCCAGAATATTGCATGAAAGATCATACAGCAATCTGCTCTGCAACGTAAGTGCAATACAAAAATAGCTAACGATAGGCTCTAATATTACAGTAAAGCACTGAACCTCTAACTAGTCAATTTCCTGCTAAAAATATCACAATATTCTATGATAGATAATTTTTCTATTTTATTTTTTCAAGTAATAATGCTATAGAGATCAAAACTTGTAGAGGTGGATGTCAACATACTAGTTGTGATGCATGCAGCTATATTCCAGTCTGCCATAAATGTGCAGTGGATGATTTTAAATGTTTGAAACGTTATGGTCGATGTCTTAAACGTAAACGATGCAATCGAAGTACATTTCCGTGTCCAGCGTCTCAGAAGGTTAGAATATTTCGATTGGATAGCAATTTATAATATGTTGATGATTGCAAATTCCCATTCAAGTTGTACCAACGTTATATCTTTACATTTGTTTTTGTCGCTGAATAGGGATCTTCTAACACATATCATAAAATGAAACATGGAATATTTCAATGTGGTGTCCCTGATTGTATTCCGATAACAGAAGCTCCAACGAATGCTACAGCAACTGTGACTACTGATGGTTGAGAAATCGTTCCCGGCATTCTTGAAAAATATTTTCCGTGACTGAATATAATAAGTAACGTAAATAAGATAAGTAAATAAAACTGCGGTATAAAATTTGGCTCACTAGTTCATTGGTTCGATCTATTGGGCCAAACTTGGCGTAGCTATCTAAAATTCATAGCAATTATTAAAGCTAAATATGAATACGAGTAAATTATAAAAAACGACAATACTCACTTTACTAAAAAGAAATAATTTTTATTGGAAAGCTTATTTTCGGATAACTGGGATGTAAAGCTTCAGCTAAAATTAGCTAACTATCAATCTCTCCGATTAAAAATATACTTGTATAACTACTACAAAAGTAGGGATACAGCGCTACATACTGTTATCCATAATAATACGATGATAACAAAGTAAATAACAGCCGCTTACTTTTAAAAGTATCCTATTTCTAAGTCATCTAATTAAAACGAAATATTAGCTATTAATACTAGGTAGAAATATAATACTGTAATGAGTTGGTGACTTCAGAAAATTTGTCTCATGCAATTAGCATAGCTCGTTCGTCGTCAACGAGAGTATATTTTCTGCAACTTTTATTCTCTGCATATATAATTATCGATATCGTAATAGCATTTAGCAAAAAAGATTTTATAGAATAAAACCTCTTTATTTGCTAACGTTTCTTATACGCAACTGCACAATAATTCGCCTATTGGGATAGGTACCTTTATACAATATATTAAACGTTACAATTGTATGTAATGGCTTATAATTTACAGTTAATAAAAGAATTTCTTCAATGTCTTTGCCTAAAACTAAGGCTTCAATAAGGTCATAGGGTGTGGTAAATCAAAATATACATGGACATAGAGTAACGGCTTATACCTTAACATAATAGATTCTTATGGTATTTAATTCAAAAATAGTGAATTGCTTGAGGGCCTTAGAACGGTTACTTCATTACCGTCAGTAATCAAAAGATTAGCTTCTTCCTAGTACCACCTATATAGCGTAAAATATGCAGTTAAAGTTGAGAACAATTATACTTTTGCTCAGTAAAATAACTATAAGGCGCTATTATTATTGTTAATTACCAAATTCTTCGTCATCAACTTTTCTTTTCATCGACATGTCATCTTTCCTCAAATCGTAATTGTCATTTTCTGCATCAACAGTAGCACGAGGCAAGGCAGAGCAACTAGCCGGAGCTGGCAGATTAAAGAAATATTTCATCTGTAGTGCCTATATATTGATATAAATGACTTATTATAGATATGGATATAATAATCTCGAAAATATTAAGTTTAAAGGTTTTTCGGTCAGATAAATTAATTTTCTGCCTTAGACATGATTCCTTATAGGAAATTTATTGCCAATACTATTAGTTTTTCTGTAGTAAGAATATGATCATATGTACAATAATATCCGTACATTGTAACCGTAACAGATATAAAACGGTAATCACCAGTTATGACTAAGGTAGCTATTTCCAGGTATATTATTATTATTACAATTAATATGAGAACGCTAAATTAAATTTTAAGGGTCAAGCGTTCTAATATGGCTTACTTCAGTAGCCGTAATTCTAGATGATGGGTTGTACTCAAACAGACGTCGTAATAAATCCAGCATGTCATCGCTTGCGGCAGTAAATATTTCATTAAGAGGAATTGCAGGCAAAGTCTTAAACTTGATATAGCCGGGCAATTTATGAATATCCTATAAGTTTTCAAAGCATAAAAAACAATTCTCGATAAGAATGATCGCTTATTAAGGTTATTTAAAAGTTATTTAAGATCTCTTAAGGGGCCATTTACCGCCCATTTATCTTCAATCGGCGTTCCTAATGTTTGAAATATTCTGGTCAACTGATCCAAGTCTGAGTCACCAGGAAGAAATGGCACCTAAAGTGAATCAGTTGAATAGACCTTTAACGTACGAATTTTGTAATATAGTAGTTCGTTATCAATGACCATGAAGTGACAGCTTAGATACCCTTAGTAATAGCTCGGCTAAAATGCAGCCGACAGCCCACATATCAACTCCAGTACCATACGAATTTGCCCCGAATAGTAACTCTGGGGCTCTGTACCATCTGTAGTGTAAAGATTAAATTTATGAGATTAAAGCCAATTATCACATAGTTTACTGTAGCTACACATTTATTAAATTAGTTCCAATAAAGACTTGCCTGGTGACAACCTGGTTAGTATAGTACCTATTAGGACTGCCAAAATATCTTGCTAGACCAAAATCAGCAAGTTTAAGTATACCATTACTATCAATTAGTAAATTATTAGGCTTCATATCGCGATGTAGAATCCAGTTGCTATGTATATATTCTAAGCCTCGTAAAGTCATGATAATGTATTGCTTAATGTGAGCGTTGGTTAAGATAATACTTGAATCTTTTATAATAACCTAAATTAAATGCAAAGGCAAAAAAATGCTAGTATAAAAAAACTGGAATAGTTGTTAGTGATGTGAACGTTGCAACTTGTAAGGTAATAGGGATTTAATATTCTGCAATGGCTTAGCATTCTGTAGGATATGCTACCTCAAGATCGGCCTCCATGTAATCGAATACTAAGCTTATATTGGATTTGTGACCAAAGACATCCAATAGCTATTAAATGAATAGAAGTCAGCGTCAGTTATGCAATTGAAGATATAATCCAATGTTGAGCAATTTTTTGGTTATATCATAATAACTGATTTAGCCATTATTATGCTTTTACGTATATCCGATTAGCATATACTTCACTTACACCAATAATATTCTCATGTTTTAATTCTTGAAGTAATTTTATTTCTCTCAAAGCAGTACGATTGATTCCTATAAGCATTTGTCAAAAGAATTACAGTCATAAAACATGCTAGGTCCTTGAATAGTTGCCAGCATAAGTAGGCTTAAAGATATTGTATATTAACTACATGTCCTATTCTTACGATTGATGAGTTTGATTAAATTGAAAGTTTTTAATTGACATTGTAGTAAAGAGTAGTTATTATGCTATATTTAAAGCACCTCAGTGCCGGTACGTGTATGCAGTTATTAATTGTTCATAAATTATACCATCTCTCTATTTATTTACATATGGTAACATGTTATGAGTAGATAGCGGTACTATTTCTAGTAAGCACATATGTATACGTATATATACCGTCATTCGCTTCGCTCCTAGGGCCAAGCTTGATCTAGAGTTTTATATATTAAAATAATAGTTAAGTTTTAATAAATTATGTATTCAATGTCAGTGCATAGTAGAATCTAGAGATAATCCATTTCTTGAGTACATTACATTGTGCTGCATTATTTATTAATAATACGCTATTTAAAATGAAAGGGTTTACTAGTGGAATATCATCACTATTACCGAAGACATTATATTGCACCGCATTGTATATTGCAATATTTCCTTGCATTTAACATTGAGAAGTTAAGATAAAGTCATGAGAGGGTTTAGTGAATTAGAATATCATTACCTATTACCCTGGTGCATTCCGTCGAATTGTATATTTATTTATGATATTTGTTAGCATTTGGGAATCAATTTCATCCGATGTTAAGATAAATTAATGGAAGGGTTTAGAGTTAGAATATCATCATTCTTACTAGAGTAGATTATATTATACTGTATTTTATACTACATAACATTTGCTAACAAGTAGCAGTAAGATAGATGTTGAAATGGTTTAATGTTGCAATATCATCACTATAACTACATCATATTATATCTTACTCTCATCTAAATTACGTAAGATTTCTTTGCATTTAGGAATAAATTATATTGAACATTAAGATAAGTTAATGAAAGGGTTTTGTGTTGGAATATCATCATTCTTGCTTACAGTACATTCTATGATGCAGGATCGTATAACTCGCATATACTGTAATAATATTTTTCTTAGCTTGAACCATAATAAGATATATGACATTTATAAAAGGGTTTAGTGTTGCAATGCCATTCCTATTACTAGAGTTATTACATAGGAGAAAGTTCTGTACTATACAACATTTCCTTTGCAGTTAGCAGTGATGATCTAGTTCATGAAAGTGCTTGCAGTTGAAATATTGCACACAGAGTATTTATACTTGCTCAAGATTTAAATTTGTCAATAATCCTGTATTAGATTGCTCAAATGGGAGTCATTGATGGTTATTGTATCTTACTCTATTTTAATTTTCATCAGCCATTTGCAACGCGTGCCAACATACAAAATTACTGCTCTATCAATTGATAGGAGCTATGAGATCTGCCTTTTCATTAGGGTAAAATAAAGCCGTAGTCTATAAAGACTGATTGATACGAATGACCATTGCATAACTTTAGTAACCCATCGCTAACCTTAGTGGGTACTGTATGTTACGCGTGCAATGGTGATTTTAATTAACAGTGTACAATGATCCATGCAAATATTGTGTAACAACGACAACCTTCAATTTACCGAATCGTTGCTAGTTCTTTAGACACATTAAGTACAACAGTATTCATCGCTAGTGCAGTTATTGCCATATACCTTTTTAACGGCAACGATTTTATTATCCTTGTGTGTATCTTCAGCTTGATAGACCACAGCGAACTGAATGATGAAGAGAAGAAAGAAAATGGAATGGATCGATTTAAGGTAAGCCACATGACTGAGAGCTATTCTCCCTGGTGATCGTCACCATTTAATGACTTACTTGCCCTTCGCCCAAGAGTTTGATTTTTTTATATCTCTTGATATTGGTTGGTTTGGGAGCATCATCTTCGATTAAGCTTTCGCTGCTGCTATCATCGTCCAACGCCATGATTAAGTGTTTGTATGCAGTATCAATGACTCGACACGACAGAGCTAGTAGCCAGTTCGAGTCTGTCCGTACTGGCTTGGAGTCTTCCATTGGTATCAAATGTATTTTACTATAGACATTACTTTACCACACTCCACATCGAACTAGCCATTGCCATGGTTATGTGTCAGCCTGTATTGTCTTACTATGCAATCCAGTACTGTGGTTACAGGGGGCATAGTATATGACACTCTAGTACTCTGAACAGTAGTAAATACGCCTACTGAACTGTGTCTGTACCACTTGATTTGGTGTACAGTATAGAAAATGCGTCTTAGCCGTAGCCATTTTGCAGAAGATTGCATAAATTACTTTGTCAATCGAATAATATATCTGTAGGACTGCTTTAAAAGGTAGCATACAAAGTAATTTATGCAAAACGCCTAGACCTAGTGGCTCTCTTTTCCTCTAGTAAAGTTAAGGAGAGGCTGAGCTGGGAAAGAGTCGTTCAGTCTAATACCGGACCGATTATTTGGATGGTCCGTTGAGCTCTGCAACGACTGTACTATCAATAATTTGTCATTAGAATGACCAGAAAAATGATCAAGCTCCGCATTTTCTTCCTCTGAGTGGGTACTTCTTGTCCCTCATTCAATTCACTAGTAAAATAAAAGAAATGTCAAACTCACTCTAGTCCTTTCCAGTAAAAGTCCCACACTATTCATCGGCCATGAAATGTAACCATCTACACTACAGCAAATAGGACAGACCTGATAGAATTAGGAATACGAAAGCACTGCACTTCCAAGAAGCGACAGACGGCAATTTTGTAGTCATTGTATCCGATCAAAGGCTATCAAGTAGCAACGATTGTAATATTGGAGATCAAAATTGCAGATGGAGGAATGCACTCTTTCTATTTTTTATCCATTTGTGATATATTGTGGCACCATTTGTGTGCTTGTAACCATCTCCTGCTCTGTACTGTAAACACAGTATATATAGTACAGCCAAATGAGGCTATAGACAGCAATCTTGTAGTCATTCTATCCCATCAAAGGCTACCCAAGTAGCAACGATTGCAATATTATGGATCAAAATTATAGATACAAGAGTGCATTCTTTCTTTCTCTCTATTTTGGATCCATTTGTGTGCTTGTAAAAGTAACCATCTACCGTAAACACACTACAGCAAAATGAGACACCTGATATACTGTAGATAGCACTGACTCGCTATACGAAAGCACTGTTCTTCCAAGAGGCGACAGACGGCAATCTTGTAGTCATTCTATCCGATCAAAGGCTATCAACTAACAACGATTGCATTATTGTAGTCTACAAGGAATGCATTCCTTCTTTCTCTCTATTTTTTGTTCCATTTGTGGCACAATTTAGGTGCTTATTGCAGTTCTTGGAGATGATGTTTTTGCATGTACGCCTGCGTGGACATTTGCATAAACGCCGCGAAAAATGGCCTTTAAATTATACATTTCAATAGCTAGGCCTGACCAGGTGATGGATGCTGTTGACTGTGTCCATTAATCCATTAATGCTAAGCCAGTTTTTCGAGCTAAGAAACTACGGTTAATTCGGCACTACAACTGACTACTGTCCACCCATTTCACCTAATCAGAATGGCCTGTCTATCCCCAGTCTTGTCACAGGCAAAACAGACACCCTAACTCTAATACACTTTACTCGACGTGCTTTCGAACGCCGTAGAGTCCTTAGCGTCTAGAAAGTCCACTTTGCGTCTAGTTTCTCTACCCTAGACTCAGGCCATTCTCCCTCTCGAGATCATCGTGACGTCAAGTTGTCCTTCCTTCTCATAGGCTGAAGAGTGTAAATAGCTTATCCAGGCATAGAATTTGTATAGAGAATCCAATCATTAAGCCAGTAATAGCTCCCCCTTGTAATTGATTTTCATTAAGGTCAGAAAATATGAGCTCCAATCTATCTTATTTTCCTATCTTTCAACGTAGTAAATTATCCGATGTGGAGTTACAGTTATGTGGTCAAGTAAGACGGCTAGGGAATACAACAACAGGTGGCTTTCATGGTAGAACTAAACCTCGTCATAAGCGATGGCGAAATCGATATCGTGGTGTTAGGCGGCAAAATGAAAATTCAAAACGTGGCGGCAATCTATTGAAACAAATGTACTTAGATTTAGGCCAGAAAAAAATCGGTCATACAACTTGTGCTGTCTGTGGAATGGTCTATACTATTGGCGAGCCGGATGACGAAGATGCACATCGGTTATTTCATGAGCGATTTATAAGTGGTATCCGATTTGTAGGATGGAAAAATGAGCATGTTGTTGCTCGATACTTGGATGGTAGGGTTATTATGGTCTTACCGACAGATCATCCTTCTCGTGTTAAGAAAGTCTTGGAGATTAAAGCTTTAATTGATGATCAATTAGGGATACCAAATCAAGCGAAAGAAACACAACATTGGGATTGTAAAACACTACTCTTTATTTCTAATACTAAAACTGTAGCAGGCTGCTTAATCGCTGAAGAAGCGGACAAAGCTCGACGCTTGTTACCATCCAAAGTTAACAAGAATAATAATAATAGTCGTCGTCGAACAGTAGCAAGTAAACCTTCATCGCAAGGCGGTAAGAAAGGCAGACGTATCAACAAATATTCTGCTGATGCGGTATGTTCCAATTTACCGGATTGGTGTTCTGATGAGGAATTTCCTGTCATATGTGGTGTTAGTCGTGTATGGGTCGATGCACGACATCGTCGAAGTAAAATTGCCACTAGAATGATGGATTGTTTATTAAATAACTTTGTCTACGGCCATGCTATGGAGAAGTCAGAGATTGCTTTCTCTGCTCCTACTGCCGATGGTAACGCATTTGCCAATCATTATTTTCAATCTACTTCTTATTTGGTTTATCATAAGTAACATGGTTGTTTCAACAATCATCTACGGTAAATTCGTAGTTACTGTCGAGTTGAACTCGGAAGGCGCTTTCCCGATCTGAACGATCAGGATACAGTGCTATCATATTATATTAGCGTTGGTAACAGTCTTCAAATTACCTCGCACTTAGTGCGTTCTCTACTGTTATATGAATGAATATATAAAAATTAGCCTTATTCTTTATATGTAAAATTGGGTGCTTTTATGGTGATGTTTTTTCTTTTAATTCTTAAAATTTAGCTAGACTAATAGAGTACTTGTTGTTGATAGTTATGGGATCGTTTTTGGATCCTACATTGATCCGGATCTCTTGTAGCTTTTGCAGCTAAAACTTATAGTACCCAAACCCACTAGATAAATTCTGGAGATGATATCCTTGTAAATACGCGTATATAGTATACAGAATCTACTAGAAAGTATCCTTGATTGATTCACCTTTAACTTTGCTTGACGTAACAGATTGTAGTACATCACTGCTGTTTTGATGTTACAGATCTTCCAATTTAATTACTGATTCTGTCAATCATTAAATAAGGAAGGTATCTTAACTTTCTTGTTTCGTACTTTTCTGGTTTTTGCTAGCCTCAACTAAATTAATGAATATCTACTGAGTAAAAAGAGAGTGTAGACGCAGGATAACTGGTAATTGATCCCTTGTAAATGCAATTAATATCTGTAATTACTGCTAATACTGGATGATGACAGATTTAGCTATTTTGGGTCTCTGGTAAATGATTCAATGTAGACTAAATTATATAGTTATTTCAGATGATTGCCGCCAATTCAATAAATAAAAATTTCGATTAATGCAGTAGTTCCACATAACTGAACGAAAATCGCTTGATGATTCAGAAAATGGCTAATAGTAGACTTATAATTAGCCTCTAAACGATATCTTAAAGACACGCTTTCAGTAGTTATGAATTGTGTGTTACTCGAAAATGAACGATTAAAAGTTAATCTTGAGATTCTCGTCCTTTATTACTGGGACATAACGACTGCAGCTTGGATTACTTTATGTCCCAATTATAAAACTTTAAAATCACATTCAATAATTTCTCGGTCATTGGGTATATACTATATACCCACAATCACTTGTCTACAATATCAATAGGTATCATAATGTTTCACCGTGAAGAAAATCACAAGCATAATGGTAAAATTCTCCTTCAAAATAAAATATGGCCATCATTCCAACTCATACTCTTACGCATGTCAGTTCCAAATTCCAATAAACTGTACTTGATATATTCGGGCATAAAAGAAAAACCCGTCATACAACATCGCTACTTCAGAATTAAAATTAAAACTTTTCAAGGTAGATTTTAAAATCTTTGATAAAAATAAAACAAATAATAAGCTAAGCGCTAAGGAATTTAAATAATGGTTTTTTATTAAGCAGATTATATATTAGTAGTCTTTAAGGCTAATTTTATGTCATCACGAAGCTGATATGATATTTATAAAAGACGAATATGAAGTAAGCTGATACGAAAATCGGTAAACCAATATCGTAACAGTATTTTCAAACTAGCCCTACTCAAACTTAATCCCTTGCGATAAGGGCAAATCCTTGCTGTAATTAATGGTGCTACGGAAATAAAAGACAAAAAAGTAACTTTCATCAAAATCTATTTATAACATACAATATCTATAACTTGCACCAAGGTTAGCTACAATATAGAAAGACAGTTCACAGAGCGTAATAACGCTATCTTACCAGGTAGATCGGCGCATGTATTGCTTCCAGGCATCGCTACCAGATTCTCTTCCGCCTCCAGTGGCCTTCTCTCCACCTTTCAATACAAATAGGACGCATTGTTAAATTATGGGACAATCGCTTGAAACATTTTTAATTTAGTTAGTCACTGTATTGAATTACCAAAGGCACCGCCAATTTCAGCTCCACTTGTAGGAATATTGACATTCACAATTCCACAGTCCGAACCTTTGGGTCTATATTAATATTAGAAGTGCCCATCAATAGATTCATATTACGGTTACTATAACAGATGTAACGACTTACCCGATCCAATTAAAAACATTGCTTAGATTTCCAGTAAATATGCTGCTAGAAAGACCTTGCTCTACTTCGTTATTCCAGGCTATTGCATCCTCTAAATTCTGATTTAATAAGATAGAAATTTGCTATAGTAACATCCATGAGGAAGGACAGTATAAATCTTATGTATCCGGATTAACTTATGCTAAATGATACAGGACATTACCTTATATTTGATGACATACAGAACAGGTACGAATGATTCTCGGTGCACAACTTTTGCGTCATGTTGTAAACCAGTTACAATTGTTGGTTGCACGTAATTGCCGGGGCGGTCTATGACATCACCACCGCACTCTATTGTGCCACCCTGTTCATTCATTTACAATAATATCTTATAATGCATGATGCTATTATCGAGCCAACAGTTGCTTATTCATCAATCATTAAGGCATCATTCATAGATAATGAGCCTACCTCAGCAGCAGCGGAAACGACTGTATTCTTAAACAGCTCTATACTGGCCTTACTATGGACAGGCCCGCATAACACTCCAGCTAGTAGAAAAAATGTCATACTTACTGTATAGTAGATGTTATATTATAATGGTTTATTGTAGTAATGGAATAGAAACAAGATACCTTCTAAAGGATTGCCAATCTTTACTTGAGAATAAGCTTTCTTTAATCTTTCAACAACGGAATCATGCATCGATTCCGGTAGAAACTATTCCAGTTAAAATACAAAAAAATATCGTAATTTATTACAACATGATCCATGCTATACCAAATATGTAAGATCCTTAAAATAGTTTCTGAGTTACCAATCGCCTAGTTGTAGTACATCGTTGTCCAGCCGTTCCAACACTGGCAAAGAGGACAGCTGGTACAACCATGTTTACATCTGCGTCTTCGGTTACTACATAATTATTAGAAATACTAATTATCAGTAAAAATAATACCTCATTTTTTTGTAAATATATTAAATTATCCTTACCAATAATTGCATTGTTACCGCCCAACTCCAATAGTTTACGTCCTAAATATATTAATAACGTAATGTGGTAAGCTTATTATTGAGGTATAACTGAGTACATCTAAACTGCATACCAAAGCGTTCTTGGACTGCCAGAGCTACCTTCTTTCCAACCTACAGGGTTATATCAAACTTAACTTAAATAATTTGAAGAAACGTCATCATAACTTTACAGTTTCAGTTTAAGTTTCGAAATATTATCATCTCTGAAGACTATTACAGTTCAATAGTTATCTTACCGGTGTACTTCCTGTAAAGGAGACAAGATCCATGTTTTTATCATTTGCCATTGCATTACTAAAAAAATAGTAAATCGAAACCTTAATATAGCCATGGGTATAATACTTGCTAAATTATCGACTAGTTGCGAACTATTTCAAATGCTTGATTACCCTACGTCACTTCCTCCTTGAACTAAAGAGCATATAGCCCCAGGTAAGTTGTTGGCTTCCAATACCGAAGATATTATCCTATAACAGAAGTAAATGCATTGATACCGAATAATTAATGAAATCGATATTTTATATCTATACAGTATGTCTAGTCCAATTGGTCATGGCTTTATTACTTGGTAACAGCAACACTGGTCAAGGGAGTCGTAGGTGCTCCTTTCCTGCAATATAGATATATCCGAACGTCTTAACAACTTTGATTATTATTATTTAACCAAACGCAAATATGCTTTAACAATTTTGCAGTCAAAATGCGTCTTATTGATTAGTATGATTTAGTTCCAGATTTATTAGTACCATAATACACAATTTCCACATGCCATGGCAATAGAGCTATTCCATCCATAAACGGCAACTGGAAAGTTGAATGCAGTTATGACACCAACTAAACCCAAAGGATTCCATTGTTCAATCAATACATGGCCAGGTCCTGAAGGAATAAAGGTGTTTAGTGAACAGATGAAGCAAAAACGCGTCTATGCAAATCAATCTACAAAAATAGTTTATAGATAGTTCAACGACAGAAGCGCATCGAAATTAGATCTTAAAGTGAGGATGACTAGGCCCTTACTTTCACTAGGAAATACTTTCCCATCAAACATTCGTGATAACCCAACAGCATAATCGCAAATATCGATATATTCCTGAACTTCGCCTATACCTTCAGGAATAATTTTTCCCATTTCCAGTGATACCTATAAGATTACAAAAACTTGCATTATTTGCAAGAACACAATGATGGTTTAAAGCAATGGACATCAGTATCGTCTTTGCAATATAATATACCGACCAATTTTCCTAAATCTTCTAATTTCTCACGTAAAGCATGTCCAATTTGTCGAACTATTTCTCCACGATGGGGTGCAGGTACCTGAAAATGTCATTACTATTACAATAGCCGATATACACCTACGATCTACGTCGATGAGATGAATGTTATCATAACCAAGCGTGTAGATTGAAAACAACAAACACCTTTGCTTTATTGTTATGATGTGGTATCAACCAAAATTTAATCACACGTTACAACTTACATCAGCCCAGGTCTTCCATGCAGCTTTAGCTTCTTCCACGGTTTTATTGTAATCTTCAACAGTGCCCTATAGAGTAGAGTGAAATAAAGCGAACTGAGATAGGCGTATCATGACGATAGATACTACAATTTATCAAGTATCAAATACTGTTCCGTAATTTGCATTGTTCAGATACATGGTCTTTAAGAATTCAACACAAAGACTGATTTGTCGTTAAGATCTACTGTAGCAAGGTATATCCGCCCCTTAATAAAGATACTTCAATAGTAAATAGTATCACATAGAATGCTTTATCTTCATGATATATAGTTGTCATCTAGGATACTGATTTAAAGTAGTCACAAGATGCAATTCGTTATCATTATCGGAATAAATAAATGATATTAATGGTAGTTAGCTGAAATCTATAGCTACAATACACGGAGTATACTGAGAATGCAGGATATACTGTATTGTGAAGATGAGATTTTAATAACATAACCATTACCACATTGGCGAATACGGTTAGAAAGTTCAACATTGCATGAGAGAGTGAAAATTACAAATGTAAGGTAGTACGGATATTTACCAAGACAACCTGTAACATCAACTGCTTGTATAGGGTTATCCTACACGATGTATGCAAATTCTGGTGTGTCCATTATACAATTACAATGGAAATGGGTGTGATTGGAATTTCTCTTACCTCTTTAACCGATGCAATCGGTCTTCCATCGATTGGAGTATACGATGTTACTGTCTACTCGAATAACAGAAAACATATTGACATTAAAATAGAGCTGTGTCATTTAGTTTAAACGGTTGTAGCCACAAGATGAAACCAAGAGCAATTAAGTCACTCGTTGAATAATATTGATTGGTATAGCTATACTGTACAATATAGTCAATCGTTGTACAAGAGAGGATCTAAGTTTACGCGTCATATTGTCAACGCGATTGATTTTTCTATCAGAGCAACGTACCGCGCCACTCAAAAGACAGTATGTTACTCTTATTAAAGCCGTTCTATTGCCATAATCACAAGCGTAGTCAAGAGAATGCTATTACCTGACCACTTGCACTCCATGTTCCGTTAAAGACACCAAGATTTTCTGATTGCAATCCTAAATTCTTCAACCAACCAAAGGCTGGATCATTAATCAACATCGATGACGCTGCATAATTTCGTCTTGCCGATGCTTGCTTGGACAGTTGGAGAGCTAGCTTGAATGAATTTCCGGTTAAGCGAAGAAATGACATGATTGAAAGTTGAGTTTGCTTGATTTTTGCGACGTTTTCTTCTAACTGGTGGATTGGAGCGTATAGTCACTGATACCTACAGTAGGCTAGAACAGGAGAATGTTGAACAGAGTGGAGACTAATAAGTTGGATAAATAGTTAATTAATTAATTCGGAATTAATCACCCGATCTGGTCTGAGGTATATTTACCTACTGTACAGTGTACAGTACAGTACAGTACAGTGCAAAAAGCGTCTCTGAACTCTAGAGGGACAAGGCAAAAACAATCTCTAGGGATTGACCGAATGAATTGTACTGTACACTGTTCACTTGTCCAATCACCAGCTGGCATCAACAGGTCAGTACTGTAGAGTTGTACTGTACACTGTACACTAGTGAGTTGTCCGCTTGGCCACTGCAATAGAAAGAAAGAAAGCGTGTTATTACGTTTGATGGACACTTTGCCCTATGTAGCTTTCCACTCTCGATCTGGCAAGGTTCAATCTTTCCAGCTGTTGGTGCAGTAGTATTTTGGAATACTGTCAATTATGCTGCAAATGAATTGAAATCATTGCATGCTACTGCACTAAAATTCCCTCCTTGTTAGACTGTAGAGTAGTACTCATATGTGGGTTTCCAGTGTCGATCTGGCAAGGTTCAATCTTTCCAGCTGTTAGTGCAGTTACTGCAGTAGTATTTTTGAATACTGTCAATGAGTGCATGCTGCAAATAAATTGAAATCATTGCATGCTACTGCACTAAATTACCTCCTTGTTAGACTGTAGAGTAGTACTTACATGCCAGTTTCCCACTGCCGATCTACCAGGGTTGAGGGTTTTCACCTTTTAGTACAGTAGTATTCTTGAATACTGTTAACCATACTGCAAATGAATTGAAATCATTGCATGCTACTGCACTAATTTACCTCCTTGTTAGACAGTAGAGTAGTACTCATATGTGGGTTTCCACTGCCGATCTACCAGAGTTGAGGGTTTCCACCTTTTAGTACAGTAGTATTTTTGAATACTGTTAACCATACTGCAAATGAATTGAAATCATTGCATGCTACTGCACTAAATTCCCTCCTTGTTAGAATGTAGAGTAGTACTCATATGTGGGTTTCCACTGCCGATCTACCAGAGTTGAGGGTTTCCACCTTTTAGTACAGTAGTATTTTTGAATACTGTCAATTATACTGCAAATGAATTGAAATCATTGCATGCTACTGTACTAAAATTCCCTCCTTGTTAGAATGTAGAGTAGTACTCATATGTGGGTTTTCCAGTGTCGATCTGGCAAGGTTCAATCTTTCCAGCTGTTAGTGCAGTAGTATTTTTGAATACTGTCAATTATACTGCAAATAAATTGAAATCATTGCATGCTACTGTACTAAAATTCCCTCCTTGTTAGAATGTAGAGTAGTACTCATATGTGGGTTTTCCAGTGTCGATCTGGCAAGGTTTAATGTTTCCAGCTGTTAGTGCAGTAGTATTTTTGAATACTGTCAATACTGTCAATCATACTGCCAATGAATTAAAATCACTGCATGCTACTGTACTAAATTCTCTCCTATGTATATAATTATCATTCATCAGTAAGCCTCCCTGAATTATTAAATAATTGCAAATCGGAAAGACAGTGTGTTATTAGATGTAAAATATGGCAGTAGTCAAGAACCCTTTGGTGAAACGCTGTTAATCATCCAAAATACAGCAGCTTTAATTTCACTATTTAGTGGTAAACGTTGTAGTTATTTACTGTCGTTATTAATTCGGTTTAGTGTAGGTAAAACCATGTACTGTCCGCATCCATACCATACAATCAGTAGCTGATAGTACAAGGTTTAGTTCTGGTTGCAAACTAAACCAAGATTTTTTAGCAATTAAATCCAAACCAACTAATTTACTCGTGTAGCCTATGCTGAAGAATAGTTGGAGGGGCTGCAAGAACATGGCCGCCTCGCCTAGCGCTTTTCGCCAGTATAGTGTTCTACAATTCTACCAGTACAAGGTATTATACAGTACTTACGGCACTGTATGGGGTACACCCATCCTGTACAGTACAGTATAGATCTATAGAAATCAATCAATAACTTACATAACTGCTATACTAAAACTAGTAATAATATGCTGCAGTGGTGTACCTCTCATCTTGCTGCATCAAGTACGAGAAGTAATTGGTGCCCACTCTGCAGCTAAAGGCGCGTTATGGCTGCAGGTTTGGTAGCGACCTTGCGGAAATCAGCAAGGATTTTAGGCAGTAAGTGTTGAGTTAGCAATAAGTGTGTCTATTCGTATAGCATTCTTATATCTGAACACGTTGTAGGCAATTTGTTGCAACTTGCAATCTCGTAAAAGCCACAGTAGAGTGCAGTCTTATTTCAACTTGTACAGGTTATGCAGAACGAGGTAGTATAGTAAGAGTTTGCCTGGAAGATTTCTTCATAGCTTGTATTAACGTACGATTTCCTACTACAAATGGCTACTATTGTAGCTATAGCCAAGTACAGCTTTGCAGTGTGTATGAATTATATATGCAGTTTAAATAACACATGGTAGACCAGCACTTATGCTATGTATACGCGTATGTATTGGCATCTTAATTAATAGGGTCCTACAGCGATCAAGTTGGATATCATAGACTTAAAATTTGGTCGCAGGAAGCTGCTAAACAACCAAATCAAGCATCGACGGATCAAAGTCAAATTCGTATCAGATTACTGGATGGGCAGCATACATTCGGAACCAGTTACATAACGACTCCTCTTGAGGTTGCTCAAGGTAAGATTCGTTTATCGATTACACAATTATGATAGTATACTAATGCATTTGAGACTCAAGTAACCGTTGCAATTGACCACCTATTAATCATCTTACCTTTATCGGGATAGCAATTTCAAAGCAGTTATCTAAAGAAGTTGTCGTTGCTGTTGTTGATAACTCAATCTGGGATCTACAAGCTCCCTTAACTAATGATTGCAGCCTTAAATTATTAAAATTTCGCGATGATCCACTAGCAAAACAGGTAAAAGTATCACACTGTAAGATCGGTTGTTATGCGTACAATACGCTTAGGTAAATCACTGCAGTTTCGTATTTTGAGAAATTTAATCATATGAGTAGATTAAGACTGATTTTAGGATGCTATTGAGTTCATATTGTTGACCTCGATCGTGTCTTCCATTCCTGCTAGGTATTTTGGCATTCATCATCGCATTTGTTAGGTTATGCGATGGAAAAGCTTTATGGTAGTGAGGTTCCAGTACAATTATGTAACGGTCCTCCACTAGAACAAGGTAATGTTTCTCTACCAGAGGTCTGATGTGTCTTTTTGAAAGAAATCATTTTTATTAATCTAGTCTTTGTACATATAATGCTTATTTTACAGGTGGATTCTATTATGATGCCTATATGGGCGATAAAACTATAAAGCAGGCAAATGACTATTAATTTCCAATCTTGATTGAGATTTAAACTATAACGTGAACAGTTGTTGACATTAATGGTATTAACAGTACATAACTGTATGTAGGGGGACTTGAATAAGTTAGAAAAAATTGCTGTTGATCTCGTAAAAGAGAATCTTTCTTTTGAAAGAATTGAATTAACTATAAATGCTGCACTGGAAATGTTTCGATACAATCCGTAAGTTCTTAATTGCTGAGTAAATTTAGCGTTGTCTACAGTATACATTAAATTTTCGGCTAGGATTATACTTACCTCCAAAATTTGTGCCATAAAGGTATAAAATAGAGATTATCAAGAAATTGGATCCTGGTGATACCATAACCGCATATAAGTGTGGAGATTTCATAGACCTATGTCGAGGGCCACATCTTCCTAGAACAGGAATGATTAAGGCAATTGCTATGACAAAGGAATCCAGTGTGCACAAGAGTGGAGACACTAGTTCTGTAAGTAGACTGAATGCAAATTTCATGTTATACTCATGCAACACTACAATCAAACTTATTCTGTAAGAGATCTAACCAATGTGATTTTTAGGCGCAACTGCAGCGCGTATATGGGATAGCGTTTCCGAAAAAAGATCTGGTATTTTAAATCGTTTCTATCACGAACCAAAATTTTATTATTGCTAGTATTCACAGAACTTTTATTGTCGTTTCTTAACAGCTTAAGGATTGGCTTAAAATGCAACAAGAAGCTAAGGTTCTAGTAGTTATATTTCTATACGCTCTCTTTTACCATCATGTCTTACATCGATTCATTTTACGAATTGACTCGTTGCTATATTCTATTACAGGAGCGTGACCACCGTACCATTGGAAAAGACCAGAAACTGTTTTTCTTTAATCCTTTGAGGTAAAATTAAGTCTATGATTCTATGTGCATACCAATTTTAGAATCATCAGGTAGATTACTTATCATTGGTTAAAAATATTTTCGGTTCGCAGCCCTGGTAATGCTTTTTTACTGCCACATGGATTGAGAATTATAAATAAATTAAAAAATTTCTTAAAAGATGAATACAGGTAATGGGGAATTATGATATGAACTCACTTACAGTTAATGAAATACAGATCTGATTTGGAATTACATTAACTTTGATATTGGTATAACTATCTTCTGAATAGGGTTCGCGGATACCACGAGGTATGCAATACTAGTAAGCGTAAGCTAATTCTCGTTTTCACATAAGTGCAATAATGCTGTCGTTTTATTGTGTGTATCTTTATATCAATTAATACTCCTAAGTTTTATCAACTCAAGCAAGGAACAAGAGTAGTGATGAATTAAGATATCATTCTGGATCTTTAGGTAGAAACACCGTTAACTTTTAATCAAGAGCTTTGGGTGCAATCTGGTCATTGGGATCATTATAGTGACGACATGTTTCGGCTGCAATCTGATCCAGTACATTACTATATATACTACAGCTTGATATCAAATAGTTATAACATTCATAATTTGACTGATTTCTAAGTAGGTGAACATTATATTGTGCAGGTCATTACTAAGTTTTATATTTAAATGATATTACTATAGCAAGATCATGAAAATCGGGGCTCAATTAGCCTTAAACCTATGAACTGTCCCGGACACTGTCTAATTTTCGGTAATGAGCGACATTCCTATCGTGATCTTCCAGTCCGATTAGCGGAATTTAGCGCTTTGCATAGGTAAGTGACACACAGTTAACGTCAACATGTGTATAATTCAGCATTCTATCGACTTTAGTAGCTTTACATTCATCTTGTAATGTTGTAATTACAGGCCTTTACAGAGGATTCAAGTATTTATGCTTTACTGACTATAATTGATATTCTTACTGTCAAATAATTAGAGATGAACCTTCAGGCTCGTTGGGTGGATTAACACGCTTACGTCAGTTTCATCAAGACGATGCCCATATCTTTTGTACTAAAGATCAAATCGGGGAAGAAGTTCAGTAAGTTCGAGGGTTCAATATTAAGTAAGCTACGGATATCAATATTTTTATTAACATACGACTATTGAACCTTACACGCACTAAAATAATAGGTTTATTGGACATGCAAATGTGTTCACTATTACTATCTGCTAAAGATTATTCTTTTCGATTATTTAGGGATTGTTTGGATTTAATCAATAAGGCGTATTCGATATTCGGTAATTAATTGAAAGTATTATTTCCTTCACACCTCTAGATACTTATTTTTATTGTATTAATAGATTTTAATTATACGATGAAGCTATCAACTCGCCCGGAAGGATACCTTGGAGAAACTGCTGTTTGGGAAGAGGCTGTAAGATAGTGCTACAGATTATTTATTTTGCCAAAATTATAGATTTAATAATGCTCGTATTGCTCACTAAAAGCTGCTTAAATTCAAATGGTTGAAATGATTATTGCATTAATTTTAGGAAAATCGACTAGTTAATATTTTGAATAGCACTGGAAAAGAATGGAGTGTAAACGATGGAGGTAAGTTATATCTCATGTTAACAGGAATATAGCCTAGCTAGCTGTAAGTAACTTCGGCGGTAGTTATGACGTGATTACATTTAAATTTTCAATAGATGGTGCTTTTTATGGACCAAAAATTGATGTAATGATTCAGGATGCTATTGGCAGGTTTGTTACTACATATTAACATTGATTGCGAGTGATCTGGTCGATGTAACTGTGACTGCTATAGTTTGCCTTGTTTTTAATTTACAGAAGTCATCAAACTGCTACCATACAACTAGACTTTCAACTACCCAAACGTTTTAATCTGCAGTTTATGAGTTCGTACATGAAAATTTATTGTGAACATTATTCAATGATGTATAATGACCGTACGTTTAATCAATTTAATACAATATTGCTATTGATACTGACAGATTCATCTGGAGAGCTAGAACACCCCGTTATTATCCATCGTAGGTTTTCTATAGAATTATTTAAATTAGAACTAGAAGGAAAAGTTTTTACCTTACACTTCGTTAATTGTTAGATAATCTTATTTCTATTAGGAGCCATTTTCGGCTCATTTGAAAGATTTTTGGGAATATTGATTGAACATACTGCGGGAAATTGGCCATTTTGGATAAGCCCGAGACAGGTTACTGTCATATAATGCCAAAATAAATTTTGCTACATTACATTCATTTCTCTTACTAACATTCTTTAAAATTTTCAGGTGTCTGTTTGCAGCGTTTCTGAGAGACATAATGATTACGCAAGAGAAATCTGCGACAGCCTTAAGATTAACGGCTTATACGCTGATTTAGATATTACTGATGTAGTTCTTAATCGAAAAATTCGACTATCGCGTTTAGCTGGTTATAATTACATTGCGGTCGTTGGCAAGGAGGAATTTGAAAGTAAGTAAAATTTTTTAATTTTTTCTTTTATCATGTGGTCCATAATTAAGTAGGCTTCACCCTCGTTTTCTAATTCTAGGTAACACCATTAGTGTGCGAACAAGGACTGGCGATTTTTTACAAAGACAAAATTTATCAGATCTTTTGCAATTCTTTCGTAAACTTAATAGAGTAACTATGGACATACCAGAAGTTTAATATTTATTCCTAGATTGCGACTTTTATTAATATGCAATACTTATTAAAAAATGACAGTAAATATCATGTATAAATAGCTACAATGAAAATTTGTTTTAATAAAATCGAAATAAAGAGATTACAGGACTTGAATGACTGACTACTGATATTACTGCTACTATCTTATTGATCCCAGGAATACGTTTCTGGTAATGCATACGATGTAGTTATGCTCTCTGCAATGTCAGCTACAGCGTTCTGGATGCTTGTGCTATATTTTAAATGTGAATTTGAAACAAGATTTTCTAAAGATTAGATCAGTCAGTTTGAATGCCGAAATACGGTTGTTGGCGGTAAAGCAAGACGTTATCACAAAATCAGGAAGCTATGTTTCATAATGGCATTGTACATCAATCGCAATTAAAGCAATGGTGCTTTATGCAAATATTAAAAAAATGTATTTATATTAAAACTTTCTAGTATAGATTGTTGAAAAAATACGTAGTGAAAGTTTCGCTCAATTCACATAAAAAATTGCTTTTTGTTTAGTGAATTCACTAATTTTACTTAAACTCTGGGCTATTTGAGCCTTGAACGATCCGATTATGGAGTTAAAAGATATATATTGCAATTATAAAGCTACTACGGATAAAATCTAAAATAGCGCTCGTTAGGACTATCATCATTAAAGTAAATTTTATGAACAAGTAAAACAAAATCACATGGCGGTCACATTTCAGATAAATTCAGTTACTAGCCTTACCAGTTTTAGACTGATAGCTAGTTAACGAGCGCGAGTATGAAGTACCGTAGGCAAAAAGCTAAGTGTGTAAATACTATTTTACTTATTACATACTTGCATTTAATTATATTATAATATCACAATATATATATATATATAATACATGAAATGTTAAATAGTCAGTTGAATTGTACTCTTTGCTGTAATGAATGTTGGTCAGATTGCGCTACAGGTTGGTAAAATGATCTTCTACTGAACTAATTCATGATAAAGACCCTTATTCTATTGATAGGCATAATCCAATCAATGACTTTATTGATATTACGCGATTGAATTTATTGTGTTTTAGACTGAAATTACCATTTATTTACAGTACTAAAAGACTAAGTCAGCGGTTCAATCGCATCTTATTACAAAGTAAATACGCTTACGTTTTTGTTACTATGGAATAAAAGAACTGTATTGGCATTCTATTGACGTTTATGAATTATGAATAATAATGTTAATTAATTATGAATAAAATTATCATTGTTTAGAAGGCAATATTATAGTTGATAGTGGCCAAAGCTTAGAAATCACATCGGTAAAATATGATTACCATAGCAACCGGCAGATCATCAACGCTAGCTCAATTCGAGTAACTTCATCAAGTTTGGCAAAATGAACTAATAGATTTCCTCCATTAAGGCAAAAATTGAGAAGAAATTGGTGAGCTTTAGTATTATTAACTAACTACCAATGATTTAAGTTTACGGTTAAGTTATACGATTATCGAAACTTCATTTCAATTCACATTAATACCATTTTAATCCATGATTTATACATAATTAGTGTATCGCATTATAAAACGTTCATGGGTATATCAAATTTAATGGCAGAACGGTGTAGTATAATATGCGATCGAAGAGTATCATCATATCGACAAAATTTCCAACGAATGTTGATATAAATGTCTTTATTTCGCTTAATATTTGAGATTTGTGTCATTGAGTCCATAACATATGACTGAAATTTATTATGGTATCATAAATATCATTAGAGTAAGGGAAACGTCAAGTACCACAATAATATTAAGCATGCATTCGACAAATACTTAAAAGGTTGTTACGAAATTGTCTATAATTACTACAAATTGCAATCTATCGTATGAGATATCTCACATACCCGTAGCGAAATCAAAGTTGATAGTGATTGTTTATTTGATCGAATATGCGCCAATATACTTGCAAGGCTACTTGAAGAATAAGAGTACTGTAAACAAAAATTTCGATATTTTATGTAACTAGGTTCTATCTGTATTTCTATATAATGAAGTGTAGTTCTGTCTAAACTAAATTTCTTACGTATGCTTTATAATAAGCAACTTGCGGCTATTATGGAGTTTATGGATCACGTAGTTTGCATTAAGGCAAAGGCAATAGGTTGAGGATAATTTTTACGGGAAGTTTAATGGGATTTGTATGGTCTCTCTTCCACATAATATTACTTTAAATATTAATCCATCAATAATTACTTCTGATGCGCTTTCTTAATAAGATTATTTAGTATAATCAATAAAATTTGTGTTTATAAATAACCACTTTTTTTAATTTATTGCAAAATCGAATATCAAAATAGCAGACATTATAGTGTACGGCCTTTAGAGAACGATGGGACGTTTGCCAGTTGGAAAGGCTACTGGTCATGTTTTGGCCAGTCAAAGTGCGGATATTGACTTAAATCGGTTCTACGTTACAGCTTATTCGACAAATTATAATAAAAAAGAATTCGAACCAAAACCTGGTCGACACATTGGGACTGGTTACGCTAGTAATCTAAGGTCTGCAATAGGATATAGTAAAAAATTGGATGATGTTGACAATCCAGCTATGGGGTAAGATGGTTTCTATCCGTAATAAAATATATGTATATAAAATACAGTAATATTACAAATTTATCATAAGACTTGGACGGGCTGATTTTTGAATACGTTTTTGAAATTAAGGCTATAAATGTTGTTTAAATATGATACTAATCGTTATACGGTTCATGATAGACAAATACTTGTGGATGCTTACGCCAGTGGAACATTATTAAGAGATTATAAGGGATCTGTTCTGGCTGATGGCAAAGAAGCATTACCTAGTATCCATATGCAAACTTTGAGTGGTTTCGCGAAAGATATTCCAAAAACATTAACAGTCAGTAAAGAGGTAAAAGCATACTATAAGGGAAACAATAAACTAAATGTTTCCTTCACAGTACCTGTCTTCCTAAAATGACAATTTCACTGTAACTTTATATTATCCTTGCTTTTAGGTTAAACAGTCATTCTTTGATACCGATGGATCTAGCAGTTTATTGCCTAAGCATCGAGCTCTCCTCTCAACACTCAAAAAGCATGATCCAATTCGCGATGAAAATGAGGGCTATGTAAATTATTTACGATTGTTATTCTGTTACAAAACACAATCAATAATGTATAATTGCAATTTTGCTCGATTATTCATCTTACGGATAATTTCTTAGTTTAGTCTCAAACTGTTATATTACATAAAAATATTTATGTGCATTAATGTTTCTGACTCGATTAAACTCAAAGGGCCCTGGTTACATGAAATCAGAAACCCTTGCCAAATTTCAGGGACAATCTCTACGTAGAGGTATGAGCCGTGTAATAAAGAAAAAATGAGATAAACTCTATAAAATACAAAATTATTAGTAAATGTTTTGATAATTTATTGCTTTAAAATCTACTCTAAACTTTTTATATCTTACCGATGTGAACAGCTAATACGGCTGATAGTACTATCGGTCGTAAAGAATTATCTGGTTTCTCCAAAGCATTTACGACGGAACCAATTACCTTTAGGGCATACACCGCTAAGGTAGCAAATACGAAACTTCCTACTGTATGTTATCTCGTAAATTAGGAACTAATTTAAAATTCCAATCAATTTTCTAGCCAAATTATAGGCTACCTGATAGTGTAATGAGGCAAGATTTTTCAAGTATTAAGAATTTATCTGTAAGTTTTGGCTTAAAATGGAAATATCCTCGTTGATACCAGACATTATCTGGCATATAGTGTTATATTCACTTGGAAATCTTGGGAAGCTAACAATAATAAGAAAATTTTCTTTAAGATAAAAATTTATACTATTTTGTCTGCTTGATATTTATTAAAGATTTAGAATTAACAAATTGCACTTGGTTGTTAAAATTTTAACGAATTTGATGATGGTAACTAAATATACGCGTGTTATTGCATATGTTAACGTTTCGTAGGGGAAAGAAACATTCCCATCTATTGCAAGCCGTGGTCGACGTTCAGATGGCTATACTGAAGGGACAACGACCAAGAACGTGTATTTGGAAAACAGTAATTTTCATGTAAGAGAATTAAATAACTGGACCAGTGTAGTGGTGATAAATAAAGAATTACTAACAACGAGATGGATGTAGTTTTACCGAAGATTTACTGCTCGAGTACAATTTTAAAATGTAAAATTTTGAAGTGAAAATTACACTGTCATCTTTAATTGCTTGATAAATAGGGATTTACTGATCAAGAGGATCTCCATCCCAAAGTCAGAGACTATTTAAAAAAGAAGGATCCTCTAGAATACGTTAACATCACGAATCCTACCAGGAATATAAAGTAAATGATGCAACTATTAAGGCTATTTTATGTTTAGCTTTCTTCGGTTTTTACTATATTTACGTGAAAACAGATTTACACAATAATTTGTAGAATAGCTACAGTTGTGAAGATATATATTGTACTGCAATTAATGAGATTACAGTATACTTATATCTTAATTAGCATCGAATAATTGGACTGTATAGTATTTGCGATGTTTAAAATGTCATCATGACATATATCCGATGAAAAAAATTTAAAGATAGTCGCTAACTGTTAAAGTCAATTCTTAAGGCTAAGCGCAGTATTTTTCCCCTGATATAAAATACCATAGTTTCCGAATACTTCTAATAAATATAGTAAATCGAAGCAAACTGGGGGAAAATCGTAGTATCTAATAGTTAGCCCTTCCACGTTATACTATACCTATCTTTTGCACAAAGTAAGATACGCTGTCATAGCATTTTTTCAATGGTATTGAGAAGTTTTCGTGACTCTTTTCTTCCAATTCGCTTGGCAGTTTGAACAAGATCCAATTTGATGGCAGATTGGTTCGAGACAAGTCTAATAGTGAAAAAATTGGTCTTGTTAAATATGGCAACAAGGTAATTAGTACCAACGTTAAGATGAAGTACATCCAAATATTTCACTTTTAATCAGTAATAATTTTATAAAGCTAATGATAAATAACAGAGTTATATCGTTTTAGGAACTATCTGGATTTACAACTAATAATATATCGAAAATTAACAATTTCGATAGAGCAAATGCCGCAGAGGGTTTTTTGACTACTTACAACGCCAAGTATATACTAGTTATAGTAGATAATTAATAAATAGCTAAAGTAATTGACAATGTTAACCTTTATTTGATTTATAATTATGATAATTCTCCAAGGTCTTTAAATTAACTTAATTAAGTAAAGTAATTAAATTTTGGTCTAGATGTGCATGTAATTTGTTTCCTAATCATTAATTTATATATTTATTTCATCGCATTAAAATTTTTGCTAAGCCTTAAAGTTATTCCTTCTTAGGTTTAGGAACGTGAATTCAGGGAAAAATTTTTCGCAGAGATCTCCTGCCAATATTAATCCAGCAAAGCCTGATGGATACACCAAAAGCATCCAGGTTCACAAGAGTTCCGATACAACAGCTGCGCTTCGGAAGTTGAATCCTTATGTCGCAAGGTAATCTAATCGATATTAAATTCAGAAACTATCGTTTGTTGCCTGTATTATTTCAGATTAATATTAATAGCTTTCTCATTTATCGAATATTGTTCTAGGAGTATCAAGCGTCGGGATCCTTATTATGATGATCATGTCTATGATCATAAAATACGTAGAAAGTAACAGACTTGCATCGTATTAAATTGTTATGCAATTATTTATATTGAGTTAATTGCATTTGTTTCATAATGATATATCCTCTTGAATTATGTAATAGCGGTAAAGTATGTTATATTATGGTATTTAAACTACCTTAATGGCTAGCGTGAGATAAACCAATATCATTTAAGCTTGAGATATCAGGCTGATTCTATCATAAGTTCGTTTTTAATTTGCAACAATCTTAGTAATAGTGATGCTTACATAGAATTACTATATTTTAAAGCTTCGACAGGCTCTTTACAAGTCTGGATTTCACGAGCTCTTAATGTGGCATACAATTGGGTCTTGTAGTTTTGCTAAAACATTAGCTGATATGTAACAACAAGACTTTATCTCTATAATTATAAAAAGTGATATCAGTATCTCAACATATATTTAAAATATCTTATGCAAACGTTCAGTATCTTCAGTACGGTGTAATTTGGTCTTCTTAAAACGATAATCAATCTTAATGTGGATTGAATAAATGAAAGATATTCATGAAAAATGTTTTGCCTACATAATATGTACGGGTAGTTTATCGTCCTAGAAAAGTTATCCTTGGTTGTCCATTTTTATGAAAGCAATAGCCAAAATAGCTCATGAACCAAGGCATTCTATAACCGTATTCATTTAACAGCTAGCTAATCATAATTACTATCGTGATAATGGATTTGAGCTTCAGACAGTGCGATTGAGTAATAACTATATCATTAATATCATTTTGGTCAAAATGATCAATCGGATAGTATTCGTCTTGATTAACCGTAGTAAGGTTTACGAAATTGCTAATATTAAAGAGGGACGCTTAGTGGACAGATTACATAACTCGATTCTAAATTTTACATCATGCAAAAGCATGCATTCAGAAGCTTTGTAGTATGCAATACGATGGAATTTGTTGTAACACAAATAACACTAAATACAATTTCGTTGAATAGAAGGAAAAGCCATCTTTAATTTTAGCAAAGAGCTGCTATACTATTTGATGTCTCGCAAACGTATGGGATGTTGTACGGACCATATAACAATATCAATGTCGGCTCCGGCTCCTTCGTTGTTCACTGACTAACAAGTAAAACATACTCTTAACGATAATAGCGAATCAACTAAACAGTTACGATACGAAACATGTCAGCAATTATGTCAAATCTTTAGTAAAATTTCTGAAAAATTACTATTTATCAATAATCCTATTCCAGTTCGATGGTATGAAATTCTACAATTACTTCTAGAAGAAAGGGAAGAAAAGACGATAAAGAAGATACTTACTAAGGCAGAAGTTAAAGACTTGATATCCATACATCATTTAGCTGAAGACGGATAGAATATAGATCATTTGTTATCATACTTGCATGATATCGGACAAATTGTCTATTGTGATAAGGACAAGATTTTAAGTAAAATGATAGTATCAGATATCGATTGGATGATTGAGGTATTTTGTTCATTAATTCAAATTACACTTTTCAAATCTCCTCATACCGATGACTGGACAGATTGTGAGAAGATTAAGATTACTGGTAAAATAAGTGAACGATACATTCGACATGTTTGGTTTAAATTTAATCTAGATGACGATCATCGAAATGATGTATTATCTCTTAGGACTCATTACCATATACTATGTTCAGCAAGTGAATTGAAAGGAAATGATCATATCTATTTTATTCCATATCTTCTTCATACACAACCTAAGGGCGATGAATTATATCCATGGAATAGTGCAAAGTCGAAATGTATCTATTTAGAATTTGATTAGGAAGAGTTACCTAGTATTTCTGATATATTTCATTGTTTGATTCCACTATGTAGCAAAGTATTCATATCAACGCAGCCGAAAACAGTCCCTATCAAAGTATCTGTAGAGACATAGATGAAAATGGTCCCTATCAAAGTGTGTGCAGATATAGACGAAAACGGCCCCTATCAAAGTGTCTGTAGAGACACGGACGGAAATGGCCGCAACCAAAGTGTCTGCAGAGACACAGACGAAAACGGTTCCTAATTATTATTGATTATACTCAAAATTAGCGTAATATACTATCGTTTCATGACCGAATTAAATATTTTATAACATTGAAGTACGGTCTGGTATTTTCTGCGATTTTTTCTAAACTAGAAGTTGAACATTTACGTCAGTTTTTTATTTTAGAATGTTAATTAATTTTATGATCTGAAATGTTAAGCAGTCAATGTTGGATTAAATAGTTACGTGGGTCGAGTTATATTGTAAAATATGTTGCAATGACAATGATTATTGTTAGCGAACTTTTATTAAAATCTTTTGAAGTAGTCATGTTATATATATATATTTTAATTACTTTAAAGGATGTTTATATTCGCTTATATAATGTTTTACCACATTAAAAATAACGTTCTATTTAAGTGTATTTTGTCAAGGCGTTCATTGATATAAGACTTCATGTAAGAGCTGTTTATTTTATACTTCCTTAAATTTTAGGTTGAATACGGTATTACTGTATGTAGATTGTTTTACCATTAGAATAGTATTTTAACATTTTGATTATTGAATTTTTGATTTCAATCATTCGGAATTATAGATAAATGAATTTTTTTCCTCCATTCTCAACATTAACGTTAATATACGAAGTTCAATTAACTGGATAGCAATTGCATATGTATTAAAATATCAGTCATATTATTTATCGCTCATCATCATCTATTCAGAAAATTTACATTTCGTTATGTATTGTTACTATGACTAAAATTATATGTTCATGAGAATGTAGCAAAATCAGGCTCTGCCTATGCTTTAAGATAACATACTAAACTGCCTAAAGCTTGTAAATTGTTTATTATTCGATACTACATTATTAACTAAAGAAAATTATATTATAAATAGCAAAGATTTACATTATTAAGTAAAGAATATCCTACTACAAATAGCAAAGATTTCTTGAAAACAAGCATCAAATCTAAATTTTGTAACTTTTTTTATGCTTGTATTGACGGTTGCTAGGAAATTTATTGTCTTTGATGAACGGACTAATCATTACAATTATCAAGTATTCATTTTGATATTGAGCAAACAATAATTAACTAAACGCATAATTACTGATGAAATAGTAGAAAAATTTAAGTTTATTACATTGAAGTTGCGACTCTTTGTTTCAATGTCTTAATTTATACCAACACAGAAGTCAATGATAAAATTCGAAAAGTCAATAATTGAGAATTCTTCGCTTTCAATTTCTACGTTATGGATTTGTGTTGATCAAGATATACACCTATTCATTTATCTTATTAATGATTATTCGCACCTTTAAGTGGTACTACTTTAATATCAGTATGAAACGAATTTGAAATGCAAAAACAATTTACTTTGCGACTTTTATAGTATAGCATTTTCGTATGAGCACTTTACCAGAGTAACGTTCATTTTTCTTCATAGCCTTAAGCGCGGCTACGAGTATTATCTTTAATTTGCATGATCTTATGAGAGTTCAACGCTAAGTTATAAGGATTTAATACAGTACAGTACATATGAATATATTCAAGGTAATGCATTAGTACACTATAGCTCGTATTTAGCCATCTAACAGAAAATGATCAATTGCACTATAGCCTAATTTATTGACCTCATCCAAGAATTGTCCAGCAATAGCTAATTTGGGCTCACCATCTTAAATTAATCATTTTCTACATTTAGAGAGGAGCCTTTAGTGGATAAATTAGATAACCCTATTTTAACTTTCATATGATGGAAGAGCATGCTTCACGAACTTGCAATACGCAGTATGGTGGAATTTACTGCAACGTGAATACAGCTAAATCCAACTTGCTGAATACGAAGACAAGCGCAATTTTGATGAATAGCTTCCATTTCCTCCTACTATTTTATATCTCGTAAACAGATCAAGGGTATACACTGTCTTCAATGGCGGCTCAGCATAGTGCTTATCTATAAGCAGTAACTAACTGCGTTATTCTCATAGAAGAACAGATTCTTTACATGTTGAATCAGTAGCTACTGCCATGGACTACAGTATTTAGCCTATCTTAAGCTATAATAATTATTCATCTCTCAACCAATTAGAAGTCTTCGTTGCGTAATCAATTATTCTCTAAAATACTATAGTTCATAATAGAGTCTGTGCTAAATGACATTTCTATGCTTTATAAATGTTCATTCATTTAAATTTTGATTAGAATTCCTGAACTTATACGCGTATATTGGCCAATAAATTATTACGTATATATTGAATAATGTACCTGTTACAATAGTAGTGTAAGGATTTTGTATTTACATATAAAGTATGTGTTACAGTTAATAGACAAGTTTATATGTGACCTATGAAGTTTCTATTAAATCATATCAAATGCGATGGTATTTCTCAGAATCGAATCCTATTTTAATTTACTAAATTAAAAACGTCTAAATTATCCTTTGCATATTTAAATAAACACTTATTCATTCGCATATGGTATAACTCCAATTGGGAGGGCTTTTTCGATTACACTTTGCTATTTTTACGAAGCCTCAGTGATGTTCTGGCTTAAGATTATACGTGTAGTAGTTTCTCTTTCAAATTATATCTTTAGGTTTTACTATAAATTTTAGCCTTTGCATTTGTGAATATGTTAACGGCAGATACCATACATTACGAATCAACAATTTTCATCTAGAACTCTATATAAAGTAGAGAGTACTAGTATAAATACATTACCTGAATGAGGACTGTACAATACATTTCGTTAGTATTCTTAATGCTAAATATATTTAATGATTTCTTTTTGTATCCTTAAGTTAGAATAGATTCCTTAAAGGCTTTAAAAAATCCAAAGACTCTTCAAATCTACTATATAAATGTACATCGATGTACCATAAAGGACCCACGGCACATTTTCTTAAATAAAGTATCATCATGTGTAGAGAATAGTTCAAATGCCTATGATATTTTCAGGTATCAGTTTAGGGAGACCTATACGAAAAGACTTAAAATGAATTTGAAATACAA